CTGAAGCGGGACAATAAGCCGCCAATGAAGACAACAACAACAGCAAACGCCGCCTCGCCAACCACGTCTACAGCACAAACGACACCCAAACGAACACCGAACCTCATGTCGACCTCAATGATCGTGACCTCCAGCTCAACGCGAATGCACAGCGCCGAAAAGAAGACGCCCCAAAAGCGGGTCAGTTGAACGGCAACCTTAAACACTAGTCCGATTATATATATTTATATTTATTTTGAATGTTCTTTAGGAAACGCTGCCACCGAAGGCTGCCTCCGCTTCCAGGGCACAGCCCAGTCGCACCGCCAGCATGGAGCGCATCAATCGACGCCAGAAGGAATCCACAACAAAGTCTGCAGCCTCGGCGATGAGTGCGTCCATGATTGTTACCAGCAGCACTGGCAGCGTCACGACAACAGCTGCCGTCGTGCCAGCGCCCACACCAGAGGCAAATGGTGTGGTCAAGGAGCCAGAAGAGCTTGCCGCAAAGTTGGCACCAGTTCCTGATGCAGCTTTGACCGCTGTCAGTAAGGCGGAAAAGGAGGCATTGAACACAGTCAAGACGGAGCAAGTGCAGCAGCAAGAGCAGGAGCTGGTGCAAATCGAGGCCAAGACACAACCTGAGCCTGAGCCTGAGCCCCAGCCAGAGCCAGTTGCTGTTGCCGTAGAGAAAACAGCGCCAGAGCCAACAGCTGCATCGCTCAGCGTGGAGGAGAAGGCAGACGAGGGCAACGAGAAACTGCAGGCTGCAGCCGAGCCCATCGTAAGTTTGCCGAAGAAAGCATTGCGTAACGGCAGCAAGGAGAACTCGGAGGTGCGCGAACTGACACCCCCAACGGCCAATTTATCGGTCGATAGCAGCAACGATTTGATGACCGCATCGATGATAGCAAAAAAGATAACGACTGAGGAGGAGGCTAAGGCCGCATTAGCCGAAAGACGACGTCTGGCCCGCGAGGAGGCTGAACGACAGGCAGAACTGGAGCGCCAACGACTCGAGGCCGAGCGTCTGGCCGAGCTTAAGGCACAGGAGGAGGAGGCCGAACGCCAGCGACTATTTGAAGAAGAGTCCACCCGCCTGGCGGAGGAGCAGCGCCGCGGCGAAGAGGAGCGTCTACGCAAGGCCATCGAGGTAAGCGTCTATTGATGAGTCCCAATATAAAGAAGTCTAAATTAAATTGTCCACTCAATACGCAGGAGGCACAGCAGCGCGAGGAAGAGGAGCAGCGCAGGCGCGAGGAGGAGGAACGCCAGCGCATCGAGCGTGAAGAGGCCGAAAAGAAGGCCAAGGAGGAGGCCGAAAAGCAGCGCGTCGAAGTGGCCGAGCGTCTCAAGCGCGAGGAAAAGGAGCGCGAAGAGCGACGCAAACGCGTCGAGGCAATCATGTCCCGCACACGAAAAGGCGGCGCCGCTGCCACCACACCCGCTAAGGTAGCCAGCCGCCACTTTGATTTTATCCTTCAATTATTTACACTTCCAATCCTTGACAGGAATCCGCTGACGCCAAGGTTGTTGCGGCTGCGTCGTCAGCGCCCAAAGAGAACGATGTGAACAGCAGCAGCAGCAACTCAACCGATGGCTCGCCCAGCAGCAGCAGCACCATCAATGATGCGCCCGCGCCCGCAGCGGAGACGGAGACGGACACGGAGCCGCCCAACAGTCAGGCCATGTATGAGCAATCGGTGCTAGACAAGGAGAACTCGCTTATCAATAGCTTCGCCAATATGATTATCGATGAGAATGCCAAGAACTTGCATCAGTTCGAGGTGAGCAATGGTAAGCTGCATGTGGAAACTATTGGAGCAACAACACCAGCAGCAGCAGCTGCTGCTGCTGCAGCAGTGGCCAACGGGAATGGCCATATCGAGAATGTGAACAACAAGAAGTGAGTGTGCATGAGTTGTGGCTTAAAGATAATAGATAAGATGAAACTAAAATAAAGGCTTTGATTGTTGCAGCGACATCAATCTGCTGCAGGATGCAGTGACTCCGGCTGTGACACAGCTAATCGATCTGAGCATTGAGTCACAACAAGATCTACACATCAACAACAACAATAATAACAACAACAACAACAGCTTGCTGACGAGCACAGCGGCAAACAACACGCTAGTCACTGCTGATAGTCACGAGAATAAAGGTAATCCACTCCAAAAGTCTATAATTCTCTATATATACTATATAGAAAATCATTTGTATTGACTAACCGACTGACAAACTATACAACAAGTGGGCAAATGCTTCAATTGTACAAAACTTTTCTGTTTCCTATCCAATATGCTTTGCACCTGCCAAATCCCTCGTCTCCAGGTTCAACCACATTGAATAAGAAAAGCGATCGACTTATTAAAATCCTCACATAACTTAAAAATTATATAGAATATATATTAATATATGTCCTTTTTCTTTGCATTCTCCAGATATATCGCTGCTGTGAATTCGTTGAAGAAAACCAAACCAGATTGTTTTCGAAACTATCTAAGAAAAAAGAAAAACAACAAAAAAAACTGATATATAGCTAAATGTGTGTGGAGTATTTATTTATAGATTGAGTTAAAAAACAAAAACATAAAAAAAAACAACAAACCAGCCAAGCGCGATGTCTGGTTTGGATAGAACGTGTCTGCAGAGGAGAGCAACAAATTATGGTTACTAGCGATACTAACAAACAGGAAAACAACAAAGCTTATAAAAACTATATACACCCTATTATATACATATATATATTAAAAACAAAAAAAAAGATGAGCTAAACATTATAAAGCTGGCAAAGCTGCAAGAGAGTTTGAGAAGAGCGAGCGAGCGAGTGCATGTTATATTAGTTAAGAACTAAGACAAAAACTAAAAAAGAAAAGATGCAAATCTTGATGAAAAACGCTGATTATGATAAAAGATAAAAGATAAAGGATAATGCCTGATAACCAGCCGAATCAGTGAGGATTCGGAGCGGCTCGCGTTTATTGCAAAGCAATTCGATATCCAATGTTCCGTAACTGGATACGTTCTCATTTAATTAAAAAACATTTCTAATTATTAATAATTATCAATGTGTGTATTGTGGCTAGCAACAAAATCGCTTCAAAAGTTTTTTTGCAATTCAGTTTTTTGAGTCCAACTTGAATCGAGAGACGACGACGCAGCGTTATATATATATAATTGAAAATTATATAGAAAATATAGCAAAGAGCAAGCGATCATAGAAATAAATGCGCAAAGCCCAAAGCCCGAAGTCCGAGGCAATACCCTCGAAAATAATTTGAAGACGCGGCATGTGCATAGGATACCCTTTATTTAGACCTTACTGCTGGGAGCTGACCCGTCGCCGCCGTCACCTGCTCCACCTGTGTTGATTGCCCAATTTTTGCACAGTTGTTTTATAAGTTAAGTTTAATAACCGTTGAGCCAACGAATCGTGAGGTATTATTTATTAAAAACAAACGAAAAAAAAAAAATAGAAAGAAAAACAACAACATTTAAGAAAATTTGTCTGAAATTATTTGCTGATACTGTCCTATGTCCAGAGAGTGTAACTGTAGCCTATATAAACAAACTATAAAACTAAACAAATAAAACACACAAAACTAACACACAGATATCAGATATCAGTGCTTACACACACACACACACACACACACACGTACACATACACATACCTAGGAACTAATGAAAGGGGACTTGTTTAGAAGGGAGCCGAGTCGTCAATTCTGATTATGCTTATGTCATTTTTTAATTGTAGTAGTGTTCTCTCTGTATATTATTTGTGCGTCAATTTCTATACATATATAAATATATATATATATATATATATTTTTTTTTTTGTAATCTTTTTTTATATATACACTTCTATATTTGTAATTTGTATTTATCCATGTGCAAAATAAATTATGATTATTTTTTAATTGAATTTAGCAAATTATTTAGCATGCACCCCCAAAAAGATTGTTAAAGAAAAGCGAAGAAACATTTCATTAAACCATAGTCTATAATGCAATTCACACGCACACACACAGGCACACATGTATGTATGTGTATGTATGTGTGTGTGTGTGTGCCACACCCACTTGTACTTGAGCGCGAGGGCCTTAACATGCATGAGAGCAAGCAAAAAAAAAAAAAACAAATATAACTTGATCAATCCCATTTATCCCGTTAAAAGTAGTTTAATAATAATGGAATGCTTTCCTATGTTTAATAACCTAAAATGGCGATATAATCAAAAGACAAATGCATATGTTTAATATATATATTATTGAAAGTTGTCTTGCTGCAGTGAAAATAAACGAAAAACAACAATATTCTTAGAACTATGTATATTTAATATTACAATTATATATGTATGTATCACACAAAAAGTAACAACAAATTATAAAAGCAATTCCCTTTATTTATTTAGAACACATTAAAAAAAAACTCACACTGAACACTGAAAAAACTTATGAAATTCTCTTCTTATCTTGAAAGCCACTAAAAAAAAAAAAAAAACAATATATATATATATATACATATATGAAAAACAATTGCATAACAAATTATATATTTATGTGAATAAAATGTAACTAATTCTCAAGGCAAACTAAAGCATAAAACTTAAAGAATTTTTGTTTGTTTTTTTTTTTTGCCCCGGCTAGAACTATCAGGCAATGACATGGTCACGCCTGGTATGCTGCGGTTAGGATAAGGCATGAGCTGCGTACTAATAGCAGGCTTCATATCTCTTCACTTTCAATGCCATGAAAACAAACATTCAAACAGCCGTTAAAAGCCATGTGCATTATGACATCATCAGCAGCAACAGCAGCAGCAGCTGAGCTTGAGCTTTTGAGAGCGGCTCGTATTAACACACAGAGAGAGAGAGCGACGCAACAATATAAATAACTGTAAGCTCTCGCACTGTTATTGCCGCTCTCTCGCTCTCCAACCGGTCACGTTATTAACATTACAGCGCTGCTTAACGCTTCTAGTTTTCTTTCTGTTGACTGTTTTGATGGCATGCTCAAAGCGCTTTTAGTATTTGTTGTGTGCGGACGTGTTTTATACGCAGCGTTCTCCAAAATAAACAAGAAATTAATACTTAACAATTGTGATAAACATTCCATTGGCCCGAGTGCAACGCTAAGCTACTTTTTGACCAACATAACGCACCCTACAAACCCGTTTCCAGCCTAAAATCCAGCAGCCGCAACAGCAGCAACCGCAACAAACATTAACATGTCGTCGAATCGTGCTCCAAAGAGTGGCTTTGCGGCCGAAGCGCAGCGCAAGGTAACCAAAATTTTGCCAAAAACAAATATACTGTTGAATGCCTGTGTATGTGTGTGTGCTTGTTAAGCTGCATTGCCTTTATTTGGGCATTTAAAGCCGAGTTGCGTCTGCTCTCGCGCGCCAAAAACCAGACTAAAAATGGTCTTAGAAATGACCTCATTCCAAATTCGCAATGCGCGTTGATAAGTCATCTTTAAGTATGCATGACTGTGTGTGTGTGTGTGTGTGTGTTTGTATCTAAGTATCTGGCCATGCATGCATAATCTCTTGAGCGTAAACTTAATTAAGCGATTGATTGCGCTTTAACTGCAGCATTGTTGAGCTTCAATTAGTTGCATTGAGCGAATGTTCGTCTCTAAGTCCAGTTGCTATGCGCCTTGCGCTCAGCTGCAGCGAGCGAAGGGATCGCAGCAGCCGCAAAGCTCCCTCGTTCATTGTTTGCATCTCTCTTAAACTAATTTGACATTAGCGACGCTTATTTACAGCATTTTACATATATACGGAACTGGCTTTGTATGTATCCCAGACCCCTCCCCCCCCCACACTCTCTCTGTCACTCTCTTTACCGGCCCCCCTTTGGCAATTACGCAATGCACTGTCCCTGTGGCAGCGCCGAAGGCAAAGAGACGTGAGTGAAATTTGAAATCGTATATGTTGTGCGTCGTTGCGGGAGGGGGGCGGAGGTGGGGGATAGGATTAAGTGCAGTCCGCTAATGGACGACAACTACAAAAACAACTACAGTCTACAGTTACATTGGCATTGGCCAAGCAAAATAACAAAAAAAATAAAACAGAAAAAGGCACCAAACGAGGGACATTCCCTTAGCGTTGTCGCCCCGCCGCTTGCCGCATGGCTTGTTGCTGCGCCTCTGCCTCCCTTTTTTATTTTCTCCCCCTTTTCGCGGCGATCAACGGCTTCGCAGGAGCGAGAGAGAGCGCGATGATGTCATTGGGCTGCCTGCCAGCTGCCCGTCTTCGTTAACTTCCAAAAAAAAAAAAAAATATTGAAGAAGCCGCAAGAAAGTTACCTACGATTTGACGAAGTTTGAATGCCCTTCCTTACTACTAGATATATTTGCTAATAACGAGAAATAGTTGCGACATGATCAAGATAATTTGAACATTTTTCAAGTGTCGCAAATTAAAACACATTTTTCGGTAGAAAGCAATGATATATATCTATGATAAATATAACTAGCGTATACAATCCGTGACGAAATTAGTATACCCTTCGCAAGGGTATCGTACGCAGCGATAGCACCTTTTGACGCACTAACACACATGCGCGCCGCACTTAAAAGTCTGTAAATAGGTGTGTGCGTGTGCGTGCGCGCATGTATGTGTGGCATAAGCAAACAAAAACAACATGCCGCTGAATCAACTTTTAAAAATTGTTTGCCCATTTGACTATCTATCTGTCTGTGTGTGTGTGTGTGTGTGCTTGTGTGTGTGCGAGAGCCGATTCAGTTGCCAGTTATTTTTGTGTACTTTTATGGCAACGACTCAAATTTCAGCAAAATCGAGCAACTATTGAAAGGCGCAACAGTCACCCCCCCCCCCCCCCCTCTCTCTCTCTCTCTCTCTACCCACTCTTCACCATTTTCATCGACCATTTACCCAGATTCAACATTCTAACCAAACCCTAAGCGTAACCCTAGGCGCCCCTCCACGACCCCGCTGTGACCATGTTGCCATTAATTAGTCGTTCGCTTGTCTGTTGTTCGCCCATTCGTCTTCCATGTATATGGGTACCCATAGAAGCGTTAGCACGTACCTATAGTAATCACTGGAACACAGACACAGACACACGCACACAGGCAAACATAGATATGGTCACATTAATACATCCGCAGCAAGTACCCATCGGTATCAGTTTACCAAATGGAACTTGCCGAGCTCTTCCAGGTTCGTTGTTTTTTTTTTTTTTTTTTATAACAAAAAAAATGATGTACTGTCTGCGTATAGAAGAGCTACGCATTATAATTGTTGTAGATAAGCCATAAAAAGTGTTGGCAACATAGTTAATCATAAATCAAGTGTTGTTTGGATTTCCGGTGAAACTCGGTTTGCCAACGAAAATAGAAAATAGAGTTCCCATTTTAATGCTGGAATTGAAATAAACCGGGCTTAACATTATACATTTGTCAACATTGTAACACTGTGCAGTGTTGTGCAATGTTTATATTTTGGCATAACAAAAATACAAGAGAAAAACAGCTAAAATCCGACACATCATTGACCTCGTTTAATTTGCGGTATTCAAAGCTCGAGTGCTTATATATTTATTTTTTGGCTGTTTCTTTTTTTTTCGAATATCGGTCATTCGCAAAGCTTTGTAATTGTCAGCGAGCAGCAGCCGTGACACATCGAAAAGAAAGCGAAAATGAATAATCGCAAGTGGCGAACAGATTTGACGATAGTTTTTTTTTTCTCCCTTTTTAAGCGTCGCTTACTTGCACGTAATGCCTCTCACACACACACACACACAGAGAGAGAGAGCTACGCCCACATGTACACGCACACACGCATGCTCTATTATTTCGTTAAGTTATGCGTCAACTGTTTAGATTTTTTTTTTTTGTCTTAACTAATCATTTTGCGCTGAGTTATTGCTTACGCTCAAAACTCAATAATGACATCATCTGGCCGATCGTTTTAACTCTGTGTATCCCTGCCACATTATCATTACGCAATGATCCGTTGCCTCGCCGCTAAACGTAAGTGCGAATGAGACAAAAGATGCACATAAATATTTTATACATTACGCGCGACTTCTTGAAACGGAAACTTGCGTCAGCTTTTGTTAGATTTATGCGACCCTAACCACACACACACACACACACACACACACACACACACATACATATGTATTTATAGACTCCTTGAAGCCTCGCATGTCAGTCAACAGCATCTGCTGACTGGCAATTACCTATTTCCATAGATCACACTCTTCCTGAGGGTATTTCGATTCTGTCACGGAATGTGTTACGCATCAAAATCATAACAAAGTCTTAAGTACGGTCTATATTACATGTATACTATATGTAAGAATGTATATACTAGAAATACTAGTACTATCGATATCTTATGTAGAATATATCGATAGCGTGCTTTTGTAGAATTTATCGATGCCCATTGCAACGAGATAACGTACTTTTGAATTGACATCTAAAAATAAAAGTAAACTAGAGAAATAAGGAATTGTTTAAACAAATTTTAAGAGAACGAAGTTTCACAAAAGCAACTAACGCACAAAAATCGAGTTTTTTTTCAAATGTTAGGGTATTTACTAGTTCACAACGCTGTACTTTTTTTGTACATTGCAATTTTTTGTAGTTTTTGGCAGTGGGTGTTTGCCAAGATGAGTATTTTTTTCGCTTTGCCGCGTTGGCGCTGTTCAACACTGACAATTTGCTTGGGGCTTGAGTCCGGTTTTGGCTCGCCCGCAGCTTTACAATTTGTGTTCGAAGGGGGGCGAATCAGCAGGTCTTTAGCAAGTTGTGTGTGCTTTTGGCATGGGGCACTTTTAATTTAACTAAAAGCCCTTTCGAGCTAATGAAGAGGCTTTCAGGCTTGGCCCTTGCTAATGCGCCTTGCGTGTGCGGGCAGCCAACAACACCCATATATATTTGTTTTACTGTACAGTAAACCGTATCTGGCAACTCCATCAAAAACTTCTGAAAAAAAATTTAAATAAAATAATTAGTTTCTCCCAGTTGTTTTGCATTGTCGCGCTGCTCTGTAATTGCGCGTAATCGCGCCTCATTTATCAACTGACCCACAGACCCAGTCAGAGGTCTGGCCTCAATGTCAGTGTCGTCTCTGATAGGTTACGGCACACTTGGCGAAAACTTCTGGGAAGTTGGTTTTATATCATTCATGACTTGAATCAAGTAGAAAATAGGCATTTTTAAAATATGCGAACTTAAGATTTGCATGAAACATTTCCTAGACTTACAAATTGTTCGTAAATTCTATATAATATTTAGACTCAAGATAAGCATGAAACATTTTCCAGATTTGGGAATATGGGAGGATATGAGAAACTTGGATTAAGTAGAAAATACTTAATTTAATAGTTTGCATGCTTAAAATATGTATGAAACATTTCCTAGATTTCTTAAAAGTATTTGGCAACTGCTTTGGCAACTTCGTTTAAGTAAAAAGTGCTTGCAACATGAACTTGCATGCTTAAAAAAAGCGTGAATCCATTTAAACACAAAAATATATAAAGTTGAGGATAAAGTTTATTAAGGACTGCATCTGAGCTTTGCTTTTCAGAACTTTGGAAACTTAAGAAAAACTTCGTCAAATCAAGAATTTTAACACAATTCACTTGATTATTTTGCTAAGTGTATGCGCCCGCAGTGCCGAAATGTTGGCGAAATGTTCTTTTTTGTTTTTTTAACTGCTTTTAAGAACATGGCCTAGAAAACAATTGTTTTCGATATTGTTGAGTAGAAACAGAGAATACGTTGATAAGCGAATTCCGCTCCCGCCCGGCGCGACATTTATTTCTGTATACACATACTTTTTGCGCTCTCTTCGATAAGGCAAAGCACACACACACACACACTCACACACACACTCACACACACACATGCATGTGTTCAATTATTTACTGTACTTCAACACAGTGAAGAAGAGGAAGAGCAAGAAGTGCAGGAAGAAGCAGAAAATCATATTTGTCGTCGAATTTCGCGGCGACCTCATCGCGAAACCATGTTCGGAGGGCTGCTGACTCATTGAAATTATTTTGTATATGGAGGAAAGAGAAAAAACAAATTAAAATAAAAAGCTCAAAAAGAAGAAGAAACAAAATATTGTTCGTTGGGTTAAAGAGGGGTCTATTGTAATTGTGCTAAATGCAAATGCATGCAACCGACAGAAGGAAGCAGCTCCGATTCCATACAGTATATATTGCATATATGTTCTTGATCAGCATCAATAGCCGAGTCGAGTCCGTCTGTCTGAACCGGAGCTGGAACTGTAGCTCCTCCAAGCGTTTGTTTCCGATAAACGATAACTTGCGCCGTTTCCAGGCAATCGATAAATATCTATATCGAAATTCGGTTTTTTGAGCAATTTGGATAAATATTAAGAGCTAGAGTCACCAAACGTGATATGTTACTTCTAGAATAGTGGAGGGTTCAGGGTATCCACTAGTCGGTAGCGCCCGTTCCTTTTGACCCCCCCTTTTGTTATCATATGTTGTAAGCCGTGTTTGCCAATTCTCAGTTGCCAATTCCAAATTCCAGTAAATAAACAAATAAATAAACAACAACAAAAAAAAATCTATAAATATTTATGCATCGAACGCAAAATGTGTAAGAAATCGTTCGAATTCATTAACATGTCTAAAACGGCTTTTTATTTATGTGCTTAAATAAACATAAAACTGTAGCCAGCTCTTAGAATCTCTTGGCCATAATCTATGCATATTTCATCAAAATTTATTCATATCGCCTCGAGGGCGTCAATTTATCTGCCATCAACCAAATTATTGTGCTCATCATCGTCGTCGTCGTCTCGAGAAAATGTCAATCAATATCGATTTTTATTAATTGTTTTTGAAAAATCATGATAAATTGTCCAAAAGCTCAAACCTTTTGTTCTCAGCAATCTTTTCTTTCTTTTCTCTTCTGTTTTTTTTTTTCGGGGTTAACAGCTTTTATCTAATGAGCCGAACAGGTTGTTAAACCTTTTAACCGTTATGCCAAATTTGGCTTTCCAATTGCGGTAATTGCGTAGATTGCTAAAACGCTCGATAACAGTATCGATAATTGCTGCTATTAGATGGTCAACTTTCAGCAGCGGTAACATTATCGATAATTGCGACTGTTAAGTATTATTTGAAAGATAGTCAGCTCTTGGTAAAGATAACGGCTGTTAAGTATATTTTGAAGATGGCAAACTTTTGCCAACGATAACATTATCGATAATTGCGTCTGTTAAGTATATTCAAATAACATTATCGATAATTGCGGCTGTTAAGCGCATTTCAAATATCAAGGGAACCACAGCAAAAGCAGTGCAAACTCATATATAACAAATGAATTCTAGCACAGTCGAGACTGCCTGACTTAAAGATACCCTGTACCCTGCTGCAATAAAAATAGATTGGTGTTTTCTTTTCTGGGGGCAATATGTTTGATTTTGCCAAAACTTGAGTAGAGTATGTCTTGTCTCTAGTTCCTATACTAAGCTCTTATACTAAGTTCTTATACAAGTTCTTATACAGGAGCTGCCTCGAGGCTACCCGTCGCATACAAGCCCTAGTTATACCCTCTTTTCTGAGGGTAAAAAGCATTTGGTTTGTTCGTTGATTTACATTTTAACGGCCTTTAAATAGATCTGCATATCGGCTACCTGATCGGCCCATTAAATATTTTCATTGGGTTTCGCCTGCAATGAACAGCTCATAAAAATTTGCTTATCAATATGAGAACGAACTACCGTTGCGATCGGCTGCGGCCCGGCACAGTGCATTCACCTTCACTTTTGCACTGCACAAATACAGCCCACGTTCCCACCTGCAGCCCCTGTGCATTTCCCTTTTACAGGGCGGGCAGCCTGTGCGATAAGGGACAAGCAGAACAACAATATTTATACGCTGTTTACCAAGTGGTAAATGGGGTATATGGGTTTTGAGTTTGACTTTCAACTAAATAGTCGAGAAAATCTAGAGCTAGAGTGGCTTACAGTTTTAAAATCCTTGACTTTTGCTTACAGTTTAAGAGTCACAAGGTCGCTGATTAAATGGCTCATAGTTTGAAAGTCTGAAGATCATGCGCGCCCCTACAAATTGAAGCAATATATATATCACAGTTTACAAGTCATTGACTTTTGCTTACAGTTTTAGAGTCATGAATTCGATGAATTAATCGATAACCGTTTTTAAGTCTTTGACTTGAGCTTACAGTCTTACAGTCGCGAAGACATTTATTTAATGGCTTACAGTTTGACAATCATTGAATTTGTCATACAGTTTAACAAGAACAACTGATTATGTGGCTCATAGTTTAAAGTTTTAGAGTCACGGGATCACTCACGGTTTAAAAGTCTTCGACTTGAGCTTACATTCTTACATTCACTGCGTTTAGCTGTCTCTGAAGAGCGAGCCATGCGACCAAAAAACTGTACAGTTTGAAGTGAACTGCTTTAGCTAACAGTTTTAGAGTCACCAAACCACAAATTAAGAAGATGCTTTCTGAACCTCATTTTCCGTAGTTACTTTTTGCACTGTGAACAGAGTATTGGCACGTCTGGAACGCTTTCAGTTGTTTTCGCTTTGTCAATTGCAAAAAGCAACACAAACATAGGCGCAATCAAAGCGAGCAACCACTTCAATTGGCGACAAACCCAACATTTGTCTCTGAGATCATTTATTTTAATAGAGACGAGGGAGAGAGAGAGAGAGGGAGAGAGGGAGAGAGGGAGAGGAAGACTAATAAATGTTTGCTAATCTGAAATCGGTTAGCGACAGCAATTCAATTAAATATAACTAATAACTGCCTGATTTGAGCCAAATGGAAATACAACACGCAAAGCGCGAGTATTGACAACATTTTGTGGTTTAGCGCCACAGCCAAATGTCCACTCCAATAACGCTCAACAAGTGGGCCTCGATTCCAAAGCCAAAACGGTGCGAAGGACGCCCAAACAGCAGCCGGCTTAAGCTTTTACACCTTATATGGCCAAAAACACAAACAGGCAGCAAAAGCAGCAACAGCAGCAGCAGCAGTTCGACATAAGCAAATATGGTTATTGATTTGAGATTGAGAACGTGACTGAACTGACAATTTTTAGAGACATATGCTAAGAACTTTACGCTCAAATCAAGACTGAAATCAATCGATTCATAAGTTCAAAAAGAAAACCTTACAAAATTAGATTTAAATTGAAATCAAGTAGTTTTGGCTTGATTCAAGTTAAACCATGTCCAGTTTGAGCTTAACATTAACTCTTCACTTAAAAAAGGAAACCTGATTTTGTGTATAATATTTACATGATGCTGGCTCTTAACTTCAAATCAAATAAATCTTAAACTAAGAACAAACTTTCAATCTCTTAACTTCAAATCAAATAAATCTTAAGCTAAGTACAATTTATTCTTAAAAGAAACTGACTTTAAAAGTAAGTTAAGCGTAGCTCAATGTAATCTTAAAAAGAGTTCCTTTTAAAACTTCAAATAAGTTTCAAACTTACACACTTATTTCAAGCAAATTTAAAGTCTTTATAATCTTAAAAAGAGCTCCTTTTAAAACTGAATTTAAGACCTTCACATCTTTTTCAAGCTTTATAATCTTTAAAAGAATTTCTGTCAAAACTTGAAATAAGTTTATATTAGTTCTTAATCAAAAACTTATTTCAAGATCATTTAAAGTCTTTATAATCTTAAAAAGAGTTTCTTTTAAAACTTGATATAAGTTTATATTAGTTCTGAATTCAAAACCTTTACTTTATTTTATATACTTTCTTACATTACTTAAATCAAGAAAATGTCTACTAATTTCAAGACCATTTCGAGCGGATCTCAAATTTAGTGCGAATTATAAACAATTCAAATGCTCTTAGCTCGGTTTTTGGGTTTCTTCAAACTGTGCTTATCAAAGAAACGCCTTTTTCGAGCTGTGTATTTAATATATATATATATATATAGGGGTCTGATATATGGAAACTTATATTTTGGTGGGTTTTTTATTTGGGGAGTGACGATGTCTCGGAAACTGCAATCTTATCCTTATCCAAACTTGAATTATAGCCGTGCAGCTATACGAGTCGTGTTTATGGCCAATTAGCGATAGGTTGGCTTATCTGGAACTATTGGCCCAGATAACGCCAGAATATATATGGCTGGACATGATTGCATTTGCGAAGTGGCTTCAGTCTAACCGAGCACACTTGCCGTCGACATGTCGTATCAGTCCAAGGTGCTGCCAGTCCAGACGCATGGATATGGAAACATTATAAAGGATATGTGAGATAGTAAACTAAAGATTTCTCGCATTCTTATAGATCAATTCGAAGTACAGCGAGGAGCTGGCACAGGAGTCACTGGAATGGATTAAGGCCGTGACAGCCGAGCCGATCAACACATCCGGCGATACGGACAACTTCTTTGAGGTGCTCAAGGATGGCGTGATTCTGTGCAAGCTGGCCAATGCTTTGCAGCCCGGCTGCATCAAGAAGATCAACGAGAGCAAAATGGCCTTCAAGTGCATGGAGAACATTTCGGCATTCCTGGAGTGTGCCAAAAACTTTGGTGTGCCCACACAGGAGACCTTCCAGAGTGTCGATCTCTGGGAACGTCAGAATCTCAATTCTGTCGTCATCTGCTTGCAGTCGCTGGGTCGCAAGGTGAGCCACCGGCAAACACAGCTATTGTTATTGATTATTCATTAATGCCACGTTTCACATTCCAAACAGGCCTCAAACTTCAACAAGCCATCGATTGGGCCCAAGGAGGCGGACAAGAATGTGCGCAACTTTAGCGAGGAGCAGCTGCGTGCCGGCCAGAATGTTATCTCCCTACAGTACGGCTCCAATAAGGGCGCCACCCAGTCGGGCATTAACTTTGGCAACACCAGGCACATGTAGACGCTGCAACTTCTCACACACACACAACACACACACACAACACACACACACACACAAACACACATTCCGCAGTTAAGCCAAAACCAAAAGCTGACAATTTCCGTTTGGCCACGTTTGCCGCACATTCCGCTAAAACAGAAAGAAAGTGTATTTATAAAAAAGAGAAGGAGAATTGAATTGATCATGATTGCATCAGACGTAATAACATAAATTACTTTTAATTTAATATTATTAAGTACCCAAAACGTACGGATGAGCTTTTAGAATGATTATAATTCTATTTTCAACAACAAATAACCAACTACTGCATTTTGGCACGATTTAAACAATACAACAATATATACAGAACCAAGAAGCACTCAATTAACGTGCCATGACCAGAATATGTGGAAAACACATAAACGCAACGAATTGCCTTGTGGCTCAATTGCCGCCAAATTTCAAATTTAACGTCTTTTTAAACGTCAAACACAACGTTTACAGAGTTGTTGAACAAAACTAACCACCTGAATTTCAATCAATAGCTAAGCATTTAAAACGCATGTTAATCAAGAATCAAAACAGTTTAAAACAAATATACTATGTATTACGACACATTTAAATGATATATGTATTTTAAATGTTATTCAATGTTGAAAATAAATAATTATTCTTTTAACAATGGCGATTGATTATTTTGTTATATCGATATTTGGCGCGAGCGTGACAACAACTATCGCAGAAAAACTATCGATAACTGCATTGCGTGCGATCACACTGGCGGCTCGCAAACATTCCACGCTAAGGCCAAGCAAATCTTTCAAAGCATGGACAGTGCGATTTGCCGCATTTGCTTAAACTCATCTGTTACGCTTGTGGACATCTTCGCCAAGCGGCTGGAAATACACAAGGGCAAGCCGGAGCCATGCCTGGCGGATATGCTGAACGAGTGCGCCGATTGTCACATCAAATCCAATGATACACTGCCTCAGCACATTTGCCTGAGCTGCATACTGAGCGCACAGAACGCATTCCGATTCAAGCGCATGTGTGAGGAGAGCTACCGGCAGCTGGTGGCCAGCGCCAAATGCAACTTGCTCAATGGAACTAATGGCACGCCAATAAAGGACGACACGAAGGGGTTATGCATCAAGCAGGAGCAAGAGATGACAGCTGACGAAGCGTCCAGCGTAGTTGACTCTGATTCCAGCCAGAAACGCACACCAACGCCAACCAAAGCCAGCCCGCCACGACATGAGCTAAAGCGTCCCAGATCCACGATCAACTGCAGCCAGCGCCCGCGGCGTTCCAGTGGCAGCCGTCAAAGGACGACCGCATCCTCACGAAGCAGTCGCTCTCGTACACCCGTGCCCGTGCCTGTGCCCCTGCCCAATGCCAACAAAAGCAAACGCGTTGAGTCTAAAGAAACGCTGCGAAGAGCAGGCGTCCAGCCGCAAACAGAGCCGAGCGCTGAGGAGGCGCCCAGCGAGCTTAGCTCAAAGCCGTACAAGTGCCAAATGTGCGGCAAGCAATTCGCCCATATGAGCATTTTGAGCCTGCACAAGAAGTGAGTAAATGTGGCCACATAACTTGTTCGCATGTATCTTATTTGAAATGCTTCACAGATGGCACCTCGCAAGCAAGTCCAGTGCCAGGATCATTGCCAGGCCAAAGTTGGACAAGAAAAGTAACCGATGCACCATTTGCGAAAAGCAATATGCAACCAATCAATTGCTCAGAAGACACATTGCGACACACAGCACGGAACGTCCATATGCGTGCACCATCTGCCCAACATCCTTTCGACTGGTCACCAATCTCAAGAGGCACATGCGCCACCATACGGGCGAACGTCCCTTTAAGTGTCCATGGTGTGCCGAATCGTTTGCGCGAAGCGACTATTGTCGCAGCCACATGGAGAAGGCTCACAGTGGTCGAACGTTTCCCGGAAGATTGTCGTAAGTAGCACAATTCCATTCTCCGGCTTGTTTATCAACACATCAATTTAATTTGCAGCCGAAAGTCGTAGTCGAGTGAGCCACATTGCCGCAATACGGTTGAAGCAGCAGACACCGGATACCTTTGAGTATTCAAATTGAAAAAAGATAAGGAAGCGTTAAAATGCTCCAATTTTATGCTAGCATGTAATATAAATTTGTAAAATACTATTAAAAATCTAAAAATTGGCTTAAATTCGATAGTTTGGTGCAATGAATTAAAATAACATCGATACACTGTCTATCGGTATTCTCACATCTCTATTATGCAGCCGGGCTCATGGTTAGGCGCAGCCAAGATTGTCAATGAGTGTGCAACTTTTAACTCTCATTGCAATCAAAGAACCATTTCAAGGACTTTGTTTTCGAAACAACTATAAATTTTAAAGAAAATTGCATTAAAAGTGCTTTAACAAAATGTAAAATACGTGCATAGCTGTGAAAAACAACAAGTTCTAAGTGACATGGACAATTAGCAACATGCAGTGTGTGACGTCACAGGTGCATCAGCGCAACACGTAACCTTGGCCTTGTATGCTTCATGAAAATTGCAAGTGCGCAAATAGCGTAAAATTTTTATCTCTATATATATATAAAATATGGACGCCGACAGCAGTTCCCGTTCACCAAGAGGTCCGTATTGTGTTAAATATAATTATTAAGCATATTGTGCATACAATATTTTTGTTGTTTTTTTTCTAGTGACAAATTGTGTGAAAAGTGATTTACAATGGAACGCACAAAATGGACGCGTAAACGAAGCATTTCCGTAACCAAAACGCAGACGCCGGAAGCTAAACAAGAGGAAATGAATGAAAACCTAACAACACGCCGAGCCAAGCAACACGCCTAATACTGAAAATGCCCTTTTTAATGTGTATTGCATGTAGATACAAGGCGGCGTTCACGCCAAAGGGAGAAGATGCCATATTTCGCAGACGAGGTGCGGGAACGGGATCGGGTGCGCAATCTGCGCAAGCTAAAAACAACACAGAAACGCACACCAACACCGCCCAGAGAGCGCCGGTCTCGCCATGAACGTCCGCGTTCCCGATCTAGAACCCATTCGCCGGAGCAGAGCCGCTGCCAGCGACGGCGTTCCAGAAGCTATGTGCGTCATCGCAGCGTCAGCCGCCAGAAGACCTCCTCATCCAGCTGCTCGCGTCGCCGGCGTAGTCGCAGTCGAAGTCGGAGTCGGGGTCGCTCTCGAACGCCACGAATTATAACGGTGCCCGTGCCAGTGCCTGCGGCAGAGTATTCGTATGCCTACGTGAGTAGCTCTGGTGATCCTTCCTCCGCGTTAATCAATTAATTAATGAACTTTGTTTTTCAGGGCTGGCCGCCGCCGCGTCCACACTTTAATCCCATGTATGGCGCGCTGCCATTTGGAATGCAGCCGCGTCCTTTGAATCCATACTTTGGGTCCTATGCGCGACCTCCGCCGTTTCGATACCGTGCCGGGCCGTTCCGTCCGCATCCGCGCTATAGCTATAGGAATGATCGGCAGGCGCCGAATTGAGTTTTTAAACATTACATAATTACAAATTTATTTACTCAACTGCTATATACATTCGTGTGTGGGTTTTGTACATTCAATTAATAAATAAAACACATGAAACTAATTTTTAAAAAAAAAACATACAAAAATATTGCATTTCTTGAACGGGTCTTGAAGGAGAGAGTGCGAGAGAGCGGGAGAGGGAAGGGAGTTGGGGTGAGGGGGGGAGGGGGTTTAAATTTGATTAAATCAGGCGCTAGAATGTCGCAACTAAAAGTCACACGAGGAGTAGGCTAATCACGTTCAACTTAACGACTACATTATGCCGACTTTATACATGCACATTTACACATACATACACACACACATATATATATATACATATATATATGCTGTTTTGTTTAGAGAGAACTAACACTAGGGGAACTCCTAAGATTCATATGTATATATATATATAATAGAGCACTATGTCAATAAATTATAAAAAATATATATATATATATAGATCATTTTTGCTGTTGTGCTAACACAGTTGTTTGTGTTAAAGCTCGACCCGAGGACGAAACTGCAGCCGTAACGGTGGATCTCGAAAACGCCAACGCGTCACATAGACAAATTTCAGCGTATGATCCTTGCCCAATAGCTCCTCATTACACAGTATATCGATCTGTAAGCGAAACACAATCGTTACGATAATGTATCGCATATCTCAATATCGATGAATCGATGCTCACCTCACGATACTTTTCGATGCCGTTGAGTATCTTCTTGGCGACCAGCTTTTTCAGATGCGTTATCGTCGCCTGCGAACTGCAGCGTATAAAGCGTCTTTGCAGATTCTTAAAGTTATTGCTAATGCATTCGAGGCACACGTTGACCTGTTCGTCGAGACGATGGAAATCGGATTCGGCATGCGCGTCCATCACCTTCTCGTTGTCGTCCTCGTGATTTTGCGTTATATCCTTGGGGCATGGCATATTTCGGCTCTTGTAGAAGTCACGTTCACGCCGCGATTCATCTACAGGTAGGCGGGAGAGAGAGAGAGAGAGAGAGAGAGCGAGAGAGAGGGAGGGTGGTAGGGGGATCAGCTTAATACAATGTTTGACAAATGTTTGGTTTTTTGTTGAGTTGTCGCTACCTTCTTGCAGCTTTGGCACCAATTTGTACACAATGTCCTGCATGGTGCGATCGAAGCTGATATACTGCAGCGGGTGTGACTGATGTATGATGTTGTCGCAGGTGGGGCATGTCTTTTTCTCCTCCAGATGCTTGACCAGACAGCTTTTGCAAACTGTAAAACGGGACCATGCAAAATATCCATCAATATATATATATATAAATGTATGCGTGTGTGTGTGTGGGCGTGTGTTCGTGATATGGTTAAATGTACATGTATATGTATGTAGAGTCTGCAAGGTTCCTTAACATTCTTGCGTTGTATTTGACTTATGTTAAAAAAAAGAAAAGCGTAGGATTAAGTTTTGGCGTTGCCAGCCTTTGCCACACACAAAGAATTCAACTCCCACGCGATCAGCCGGCAACGTTTGCGACGTCTGCCAGCGCCGAGCCTAACAGGGCTTTGGCTTAAGTTTTGGTTGTTTATTGTAGATAACGGTAACCGTTCGGCGGCTCAACATGACTGCGCGCAACAGCAAGCAAAGGCGAACCGGTGCAGGTGCTGCCGCCACTTGAACTGTAACTGGCAATTAGCAAACAGCATAGAGCAAAGGCAACTCACATGTGTGCAGACACTCCGTCACTGTGGTCGCATCTATGAAGTAACCGCCGCAGATTTTACACGTAATATGCGGATTGATGGTCTTTAGCTTGACGCGCCGCTCCATTTTGGCAGTTTGATTAACAATTTCTTATGAAATAAATAACTCGCTCGCATAAAATTCTCTCCCTCGCTCGGCGAACAATTTGTTGTCTTTTGCGTTTGTTGGCGAAAATTCGCTTGCCTATTGCGCCAAATTGTGCGCAAACGTATTTTCAACACTCAACATATTGTTGCACATCTTAGCTATACATTTGAACGGTAATTTAGCTATTATTTTTAAACAAATAAAAGAAATCACGACCAAATTGTGTGTACGTGTACGTGTGTGAGTGTGAGTGTACGTGTACATTGACCATTGTGAATGGCAATTCTCATATCGTTATCGTGCACGGTGAATGGCCATTATGCTAATGGCGCTGCCAGATGTTTCAATAGATCCAGCTTAACCGAAACATTTTCAACTAATTTAAATGTCTACGCTACGCTATGCTAAATAGAACTATCCAATATTAAATAAAAATAATTAAAAATAAGTCTCTAGCTGCACTAGTAACAGCAATTGTACAGATTGGCAATTAATCGACCCGCCACCACAGTACCTGCTGCTGTAATCGGCAAAACTGTTAATTCAAATTTCTAGCTCACTTAATAACTATCAGCAAATAAATGCACTGCTTTAGCTTTTGTTAATAAGTTTCCGTTTAGCTTCACAGAGCAACTTTTGCTTGTTTTGTTTATAAAAATTCGTTTCATTTTGCCTGCGTTAGAACAGTGTGTGCTGTTAGTTACTAGCTGCTGTTATGTTATTAACATTTCAAAAGAATACCGCAAAAAATACCACAATATTGATTTTTGGCACTTGTTGCTTGCTAACAAATAAGTTTTGCGTGCTTGTTCTCAGTTAATTAAATCAGAATACCTGAATTAACAAGTGCTGCTGTCAATTTACAGTCAAAGCAGCAACAACAACAATAAATAACTTGATTTCAGGCCAAAAACCCCGCAACAATTTAGCCAGAAAAGCTTGACTCGACGTGTTTTTGAGTCATTTTGCCGCTCACTTAACAAGTTGTTGCCTTTTGCTGACTTCAGTTGAGTTTAAACCGTCAAACTGGCAGCACGCATCATGTCCGCGGGTCGCGTAGTCATCTATGGAGGCAAGGGCGCACTGGGCTCCGCCTGCGTCGATTATTTCAAAGCCAATAACTATGTAAGTCTCAAAGCCTTTCACTTTGGATTGCAATGCGATTGTTTAATACAAATGTAACCTTCAGTGGGTTGGCAGCATTGATCTGAGCGAAAACGAGCAAGCGGACGCGAGCGTTGTGGTGCCACGCGATGCCAGCTGGGAGGATCAGGAGTCGTCTGTCATTTGCAAAGTGGCCGAATCTCTGGCTGGCCAAAAGCTGGACGCTGTCATCTGTGTGGCCGGCGGCTGGGCCGGTGGCAATGCCAAGAAGGGTAAGTCAGCCAACCGAAAGAAAGGAGCAGCTTGGCTAACACTTCTCTTGATCTGCATGTAGATCTGGCCAAGAGCGCGGATCTGATGTGGCGCCAGAGCGTCTGGAGCTCGACCATCTCGGCCGCCTTGGCTGCACAGCATCTGAAGGCTGGCGGCTTGCTGGCGCTGACGGGCGCCAAGCCCGCACTGGCCGGCACGCCCGGCATGATTGGCTATGGCATGGCCAAGGCGGCTGTGCATCAGCTGACACGCTCGCTGGCCGGCGAGAATTCTGGCCTGCCCAGCGATGCGCTCGTCGTCTCCATACTGCCCGTCACCCTGGACACGCCCATGAATCGCAAATGGATGCCGAAATCCGATTTTAGCAGCTGGACCCCACTCACAGAAGTCGCCCAGCTCTTTGGCAAATGGACCCAGGACCAGGAACGCCCCAAAACGGGCGCCCTGCTGCAGCTGATCACAAAGAACGGCATTACGGAGCTCATTCCGGCGGAGTAGACAGCGAGTACAGCCGACTTTGATATTGTTATACTCTATATATATACTATATATAATGCTTGTGCTTAAACAATTAATAAATAGCAGAGAGAAGGGAGAAGAGAGAGAAGTTATCTGCGGGTTGCCTAAGGTTAGATGCACCTAAAAATCATGCTTAGCATCTCTTTTTCAGACTCGACTTATTCATATAGAACATAGTTATCCGACCTTGTGTGCATATTCATTATAAATAATATATCTGAATAAACATGAGTTTTCTGATAATGAACAGATTCTTTGAGCAGCAAATTGTTGCTGGGTTTAGTCAAGAAATCTTGAATCTCTTTAGGGGTCAAAGTTTATACAATAGATAATATAGTAAACCGATCCGAATGCCGCCGGCATAAGTTCTTGCCACAACTTAAAGACAGCCTTAAGACTAAGAAATGGGCAACTACTGTTCAAATATTTACTATATATATATATATATATATGTATACTATATCTGCTAGCAGATGTCTCAATGTTGGAACTGCCTTTGCCAGGGGCATGGGAAACGTTTTGCGCTCGCTTTCGTTTAATGCTTTCCGTTTTTGTTTACAGCATTTGGGATAACCTATTGAACCGTGATAATGCAGCGTTACGCTTACGTCTTTTTCTTCTTCATGATTTTCATGAAGAGCACCATGGCTGGAAAGAGATGAGGAGGAGGAGAAGGAGAAGTTAGAATTGGATTTGAAATCAAAGTCGACTTCAGATGATTCACCTATAAAGACGACAATAACGAAGACAATCATTAGCCAGAGCCAGCATTTGTAGGCCTTGCGGGAGTGCTGCTCCAGCTTGTCGGCCTCCTTGCCAAGCGAATTGATGTTGCGATCGGCCATGCCGGTGGAACGGGACACCACCTCCGTATCGCGTTTAATAATACGATTCGCCGTTTCGGTTTGCTCCTTCAGGTTGCGCGTCAGCGATAGCATGTGCTCCGTTATCTTCTCCTGCGCATTGTTGTAATACTTGACCGCCTCGTTCATGTTGTTCCCGTTGATCGTCTCGCCAGGCGTTGCCTCATCCGCGCCACGTCGTCGACGCAGCGCGTCCGCATCTAATGAAGAGAAAGAGAAAATTGGTTAATAAGTGCCTGGAGTTGCCTGTGCTTGGCTACCTTGCAGCAGATCCTTGCGCAGCTCGTTGTGCCTGGCTGTGTTCTGCAGCTGACGCATCTCCTGGAGCGCAATTTCGCTGGCCGAATCCGAACGCTTCGAAGTTGCATGCGAATTGTTGTTTGTGGTGTAGCCGGTGGTCAGCTTTAGGGCAGCCAGGCGTTCCTTATAGCTGGGTATGCGCGCCGCGCTTTGTGCACTGTGCAGGAGTAGGAGAGAGCTTGAGTTTGAGATTCACGTACGCAAGGATGCACTCACTCGTCCAGCGCCGCCAGCTCGGCAATCATGGTGTCAAGGGATTTGAGAAACTTTTGCAGCCGCCAAAAGTTGTCCTCGCTTTTGGCGAGATCCTCGCAGTTGGCCAGCAGCGTTCGAATGTTAACATTTAATTTCGTGGCCATTTTATATATAAAAACATTAAACACTTAATAATCGCTAGCTAATAACACAAATCTCTGTCTATCGATAGCAGTTTTGTATTTTTTGAGCTATCGATAACATGACATCACGCGCTATGTATGCAGCGCCAAGCACGATCATCGAACATCAACTGCAAGCAAACTGTTTTTTTGCTTATGAATTGAATATTTGTTTGCAATTCCATAGCAATTGTTGATTTTGTACAATTGTTTTCGTAGGATATTTTGCATATATAATTTACGCCCGCTATCATTTCATGTGAGCTGCGTACTAGGCGTGTGCGAACAGCTGAATAACAGCCAAATGCAACGCTTAACCGCGGCGCTTGCCAACACTCCGTCGCGACGTTCGGACGTAGAAACGCAAAGAAAACGGCAGTTTGCTGGAACAATTTTGCTTCGTGAATTTTAATTCAATTTAAAATTGCTGCAATACCGCCAAGTGTGTACGTACAAGAGGCGCAGACGAAGTAACGCGCCGGTTAATCTTACAAAGTGCATGTTTCATCAAAAAGTGAATAGAAAGTGGCACAGCATACAAGAAATGTAAATGATAAAAAGCCAAAGAAATGCGAAAAATATGTACATACATACATATGTACGTACGCATACATATGCACGTATGTGTGTCGTGCGAGAAAGAGGCAGAGCCATGAGTGAAGCACATTAAAATTAATAATGTACATAAATAACAGTGCAGCCGTTTTACAAACCAACATAATTGCGTACATTATACATTATATACATAACTGTATTTAAATATTTCCGCAATAGCGTTAATAATTGGAATGCTTGCCGCTGAGAAGGGGATCATTTTGTGTGCGTGTGTGTGTGTGTGTGAGTGCCGTGCAGTGCGTGTGTGTGTGTGAGTGCGCATATATTTATATGTATATGTATGCAAACGAAAGGAACAGAGGAAAGTCGCGGCATCTGTGTAAAAAATAAAATAATTACATGCAAAATAAAGAAAAAAATCAAAAACTTAAAACGGCCACTTGGCAGAATTGAACATATATTAAAATAAAAAAAAGAAGAAGATATGTGTACCACACATTTGAAAGAAAACCTACGAAAGTGGTTGCTCGCGTCACTGCTACATGTGAATGTGTGAGTGTGTGTATGTATATCCACACATAGGTGCGTTTGCCATGGTTGGTGCGAGTCGCGCGCGTGTGTGTGTGTGTGTGTGTGTGTGTGAATGCGAGAGGAATGCTGTCTATGTATCACGTTTCGCACTCTATATGCATATAGAGTAGTATATGTGTGTGTGTGTGTGCATAGTGTTGTATAGTGCATAAAACATGAAGCACTCAGATTTGAATTTAGATTCTTTGGAATTTTCTTGTCGGATTTTAAACCATTGCGGCAGATCATTGACACCCGCCGCAACTCCTCCCACTACAAACACAAAAAACCGTAGGCATGGCTCATTCGCCAAAACGACCAACTGGCCATTTTGTCTGCGCCACAGTCAAGCAAATCGATCTGGTTATTCTCCGGTTTTGAAAAAGTTGCATCCCTAAGCAGGCAGCATTCAAGTAGAGGGCGATGCACAACAGAGACGGCAAGACAGAGAGCGAGAGAGAGAGAGTGTGTGTGTGTGTGTGTGTGTGTGTGCGTCCGTATAATAAACATGTACACACATACACAAGAAAACAAACTTGTTTGGACGCGCGGTTCTCTCACGCTCACACGCTCTCTCTGCCTGACGCTCACTTGCAAAATGAGCAAAACGCCGCTTTTCGTTGAGAGAGAGAGAGCGAGTGAGAGAACTCACAAATCTGCTTTTGAGTGGGCTGCTGCTCGCTACTCGCTGCTGTTGCTGCCGCTGCCCGTAGTTGTTGCTCTCTTCTGGCAACTACTCAACGCTAAAGCAAAGCTAGACGAGCGAAATTTCCATTGTGTGTGGCGATGTCGCGTCGTCGTCGTCGCCGTCGTTGTCGTTGTCGTTGCCAGCCAGAAGCAGCAGCAGCAGCAGAAACGGTCTCGCAGTCGGTTTAAAATTTTCTGACTCGTCATTTGGTGTTGTGCGAAAAGCGAGAAAAACGCAAAACATATATATATATATATACACACATATATATACGTATGCCCACATATTATTGAGTAATAAATTAAACAAATAATATATATATGTATATATAACGCGGCATAGAACGCAGTGCAAGGTGCAACTTCTCGATACAAATTGATTAACAATATTTCAATCGAATCTTCCGTCGCTGTCAACACTCGTGTGTACGTGTGTGCATGCGTGTGCGTGTGTGTGTGTTTGTGAGTTCCTTTTTAAGCACAAGCTCATTACAATTTACTATTACTCATCTGCTGCTGCTGCTGCTGCTTCCTAGCTCTGCTCGAAAGAGAGCGCGCGAGAGGGGCAGCACGCAAACCGCAAATAACTTACAAATTTGTATTGTGAAAAATCGAAATACCAAAAATGTATACAGAAAAATGTGATTTTAAAATGCATTTTTTGTTTTTTGCAAACGTCGTAACAGCTTGAAACCGTTATAAGCGACCAGCTGCAACAGACGGTTAAAAAATATATACAAAAAGAATACATATTTAAACTGTAGCTAAAAAAACTACCTATATTAGTTTTTTTTCCGTTTCTTTTTTTTTTTTTTGTCTACATCAACGATTAACGAAAACTCGACGACTTTCATCGTCGTGCGTCGGTGTTTATATGTATGTATGCATGCATGCATGCTTGTGTGTGTGTGTGTGACTCGTTCGCTCTTTCGCTGACACACACACGCACGCACGAACACATAGAAATAGCCCCGTCGTTGGCGTGCTCGTCACGTCGAATGCGCGCCTTGAAAAAGTCAATTTTTATTGTGTGTGTGTGTGCGTGTGTGTGTGTGTGTGTGCTCGCTCTCTCGCACTCTCAGTGCCGAATGAATGGACAGTGGTTCAGCTCCATGAAATGAGAGAGCGTCAGAGAGTGAAGCATAGCTGAACGTGTGTGCTGCTGCGGCCGTCCACCCTTGTAATTGCCGCACATTTAAAGGCCTGTGTGTGTGTGTGTGTGTGTGTGAGAGCACAGCAGTGGCAGCAACAAATAAGCAGTAGCAGACCTCATAAAAAACAATAAGACAAAAACGTTAAAAATACAAAATTGTTTTTCATTGTCGTTTGCGAGTGTGCTTCTGTGTGTGAGTGTGTGTGTGAGTGCAATTCGCAGGCCAAGTCTCTCTCTCGCTCGCTCGCTCGCGCTCTGCTATAAACTTGACGGCGATGATGTTGCTGATTTCGAAATTGATTTAACTGAACGTGTTTTTTCGGTTCGGCATCGCGCGCACTAAACGATATGTGCAACAACTACAACAACTACAACAACAACAATATAAATAGCAATAATCTTCATGTCTCTCTCTTTCAGTGCAGTAAATAATAACACGCACACACACAACAGCAAAACAACGAAAAATGTAAAAGTGCCGCAATATGTGCATGTGTGTGTGTGCTGAGTGCATACAAAATAGTTAGAAAATACAACAAAAGAATTAAAATTATTCAAATACGTGTTATAATTAATTGCAAATGTGCGTTTTAGTTCTGCGATAAAACGCCAACCAACAACAACAACAAAAATTCAAGTAGCTGCAAACTGCAACAGCTGCAAAATCAACAGCAAAAATAAAAGTGCACTCAAAACAACAACAACAACAGCAGCAACAACAACAACAGCAGCAACAACAACAGCGAGCAACGCAATTTGTGTCTCTGTGTACGTGTACGTGTCTGTGTCAGTGTGTACGTGTTTGTCTCTCTCTCGCTCTCTCACTCTCACACTGTATCTATTGTCATATAAGAAGAATCAATACAACAACAACATCGGCAACAAGAAGAAGAAGAGGAGCAGCAAAAAATCCAATCAAAGCAAATGTGCAACAACATACAAAATACATAACATATTTCAATTATACATATATATATATATATATTTATATATATATGTGTGTGCGTGTGCGTGCGTGTATATATGTATGTGCATATATATATATATAATTTAAAATTTCCCACACAACAACCCATACATACATATTGAGAAAATGAGGTGCTGCTGTTGTGCAAATAAAATAAGCCAAGAACTATGACGCATCAAAATCATCAGACAAACGGCGCTAGTTTGGAGGATTGCCATACAAACTTTTATGCCTTGGTAAGTGCTCAAATCCAGCTAACACTTGCCCTGCGCCCTATTGCATGCTCTTTTCACTCTTTTGTTTTTTTGCATTTTGCCATTTCCGTTCTTTGCTGCCAATTGCTTGGATCTAGGTCAGTGACAATGCAGCACAGGGTGTTTCAGCTTGTTATGTGCTCTCCGCCCACACGCGCCGATCGACAGCTGTTTATCGATAGACACCGCACGGCCAGTGTGGCCGGCCATTGATTAAGTCTCTCTCTCTCGCTCTCTCACTCACTGTTACTGGCGCGCTAAATAACGTTAGTTTCACGCACAAAAGCGGAACTATGCATAGATACAAAACAAGTCAAAGAAAAGAAAAGAAAAGGCAGCAACAATAAAAACGTGTGTGTGTGTGTGTGTATGCGACAACTGGCCGGCCATAACAGGTTCTTCGGCGGCGTCTAGTTGGCCGCCGGGTCGCGCCGTTTCTTGTTCACATAAAAGCGGCGCTGCCAGTGGCATATTTCTTTAATGAATTTCGCTCAGAGACAGACAAGACAACGATGGTAACAGTAAAAGACAGACATCGAGTTAAACGCTTAAGAAAAGCTCAAATGGTCGCAACGTCGACGTCGACGTCGACATGCTGCACACGCCCGCCGTCGGACCATAATGTTGTAAAAAGCAGAAGCAGCGCTGCTGGCAGCGACGGCGACGGCGACAGCGACAGAGGGCGACGCGCCAACGAACGCTATACGAAATAACGAAACAATAACAAACGCGCAAAACTTTCTCTGAGCGAGTAAAGTCCAACGAGAGCGGCAAAGAGAGAGCGGCAGAGCGAGAGCGAGAGAGGCCCAATTAGAGAGATATATAATAAAAGCAAAAGAAGTCAGCTTGAACTTGGAAGGCACGCGCGCGTGAACAAACACAAGTAAAGCGTGTCAGAAGAATGATAACAAGCACATGCAGAGAGCGTGCGTGCGTGTGCATGTGCGTGTGTGTGTGTGTGTCAGAGAGAAAGGCGCATCAAGATATTGTGCGGCCCAAACGAGCGCAAGCAGCGTAGCCGCCAGCGCATGCAGAGTCTCGATTGAGCATGAAAATTGCAAAGATACGCATGTGTGTGTGTGTGTGTGTGTGTGTGTGAGTGTGAGAGTGTGTGCAGCGAGACGACGCTGACGTCGGCAGATAAAAGACAGCGAACCTGAACGTTATTTGTTGCTGTTGCTGCTTTTGACAATGTTGAAAAATGTTCAGATGCTAAATTAGTTAGTTGGATTTTCATAGCCAAAAGTAACTGCCAATGCGTGCATGTGTATGTAAATAACAAACACACACACACACACGGAACAGTAAAGTAGCGAGTAGCATAAAAACGAGAGCGAAAAATGAAAACACAAATCGCGATGCCCAAAACGAAATACGAATATCAAGGGAAGAATGTGGAACGCAACGAATTGTTGTTGTGCTGCTTTTGCTTTTGCTTTAGCTGTTGTCGTTGTTGTTGTTGTTGTTGTCGTTGTTGTAGTAGTTGTTGTTGTTGATGTTGGGGGCGACGCGCTCGTTCGACGTTGTCGGCAGCCATTCGTGGTTTGGGGAATACCTTTTGCTTGCTTGCGCTGCTCTTGTTGTTGTTGTTGTTGTTGTTGTTGTTGTTGCGGCTGCTCTGTCTGCGCGCGCGTTTGTGTGTGTTCGTGTGTGTGTGTGTGTGTGTTCGTGTGAGGTGCAGTTATTTGGCCATTTTTTTTGTTGTTGCTGCATGCGTGTGTGTGTGTGTGTGTGTCTTTTGAATTTGTGTTCTGCTTGAGGCTCTCTTGCGCTGTGTTGTCTTTGGCCATTGATTTGTGCTTGCCACAGCAACAACAACTACAACAACAACAGCAACTAGTACGACAAGTTGTTGCAAAGCTACAACTCAACGCAACGGAAGCCGCCAATGACGAGCCAAAGACACGACCCTAGCCAGTTTTTTTTTTTGTTGTTTCTACAGTCTTTGTTTTTTTCGCGCTCTCTCTCATTTTTCTTTTGTTGTTGTTGTTGTTGTTGCTTAGGTTTTCTTTTATTCATCGTCTTCTGCTTTGGGCTCTTCTCATGTTTTGAGCTTTGCGTTAAGCCTTTCGTTTTTGTTGCTTTTGTTACAAGTGCATCAATGTTTGTGTGAGTGTGTGTGTGTGTGTGTGTGCCGCATTTTGCAACACTGCCAAGCACAGTTGTTTTCATTTGTTTGGCGAGCTTTTAGCTGGAAATTGTTGCGTGTAGTGTTCGTAAACAAACTGCTGTGCGAGTTGGTTTAGTCAAATGCAAATGCTTAAATACAGTAAAGATACAGTAGCGTGAACAGCAGAAGAGCGTATCGAATTTCTAGAAGACAACGTTACGTTGCCATTTTTAAGCTAGCTTTTTGTTTTATGTCCAGTTACGATGCCGTTTAACTAAACTTAATACAACTTAACTATCCGACGTAGTAACAGTTATGCATTTGGACTTTTGCAATGTCTTATAGAACTAAGTTTATACGTTAACCAACACTGCCAGCTCCGGGTGAAAGTCAGCTGTTTTGTGTTGAATGTGCGTAAATTCTTACCGAAAACGCGTAGCTAGAGATTTAGCTAATTGTGTGACTCACAGGTGCCTTTTACTTTTAGCTAAATATTATTAACTAATAAAGCAGCTGTCGAAATGTAAACAAAGCCACAAACAAACAGCTGTTTGTCTGTTTTCTTATCGCTAATCTGAACATAAGTTAACAGTGGTAAGAGTTTTTCCTATCGAATAGCTACTGTGCCTGGGCCCAAGCGAACGATTGTGCAAATGAATATACTTATTTCGTAATATATATATGTATATATATATATATATCTGGTCGCGCTTATCGCGCTCGATATTATTATAATAATGAAGCAATCAATGATAACAAGTCAACAAGTCAACTCTAATAAGCTCTCTCTCTCTCTTTCTCTCTCTCTGCCTTCCTTTCACAGACTGATTTGTGTGGAATTAAATGGCGCAAGTTCGTTAATGGCGAACGTCCGAATGCGTCAAGCGATCCACTCGCCGATCCGATCTTGCGCTCCTATTCACGATGCATGCAGGCGGATATGCTGTGCGTTTGGCGGCGCGTTCAATCCACCAAACAGGACAACACCGATCCGAATGCCTTAAACTTTGAGATTACCACATCGACAACTGTACACCCGCCTCTATCGCTGGCCGCCGCCAAGGAGCTCTGGATCTTCTGGTATGGCGAGGAGCCGGATCTCAGTGAGCTTGTCGATGCGGAGCTCCTCAAAATAGCTGGTAAGTTCAAAGTAAACCCAATAGATACAGTTTATTAGATCCGTTTCTCATCCATTTTCCTGTAAATCTTCAAAGCGAAGCTTTTTAGGTAGATATAATAGTTCTGCCACGACTGTAGAACTAATAAATTCCTTTCGATTTCAACCAATTTCGAAAGGAATTTACCAACACTTGACTGTAGTGTTCAATTGACCGAATGTTATACACGTGTTTAGGTGAAAATGGGAAAATCTCCAATGAATGTAGAGATTTTTAGATCAAAAATCAATTAACTTTTGATTTCACACAATTTCATAAGGAATTTACCAACACTTCACTTAAGTGTTCAACATGTGCACAGCTCTAACAATATTAACTGTGCATACATACATACATGCATGCATGCATGCATGTGTGTGTGTGTGTGTGTGTTGAGAACGTCCGTTACATTATGAGCTTTTTATAAATTTAATAAAACTTCAAGGCCGCAGCGCGTGCAGCGCAGCTAAATATTTGTTGTACCCATGAGACAAACCAAAACAATACACACAGACAACACACACACACACACAAACACACACACACGCACACTAAGAGGCGCGCGCGCTCGCGTTTATCATATAAATGTACGTGCATGTGTGCATGTGTGTTTGTGTGCCTTGTAGCTGTTGTTTCTCCAACACATCATTCACATGGCGCGCTCATCGTCTGTCAGCAGCAGCAGCAGCAGCAGCAGAACGACGTCGATTTCTGCTACCCTCCCCCTTCCGCCAACCCACCACAGCGCTGCGGTCAGCCCACGCTTGAAACGTCACCTGTGTCATTTGCAATGTTTTTGTTTCGTTTCGTCTCTCTTTATGGTTGGCGCACGCTCACGCTCTTTAAAGCGCTCGCTCTCTCGCGCGCGCTCTCTCGCGCACTCGCTCTCTTGGTATTTACCTCGGCCGCTTTGGCGTTTCTGCAGCTGCCTTTAAGGGGTTGTTTCTTTACACTCGCAAACGTTGTGAAGGCCTCGAGAACTGTTCCCACTGCTGCTGCTGCTGCTGCTGCTGCTGTTTGGCTCTTATCAGTAGTTTTTGCGGTATGGCTAAACATTTTTTTTTTTTTTTGCTTAGATTTAATTTTGCCTTTTGCTTCGCACACATGCCGCCGCTATCTGGTACCGCAAATTATCAGGCTGTCTCTTAAAATGTTTGGTGTCTCCCTCTAGTGGCAAATTCCACTGCTAAGACATACGTCAACGTTAAATGTAATCGTAAGCGTAAGCGCGTTAGCGTTAGCGTAATCGTAACGTAGTTAGGCTGCCATCCCGTTTGAATGCTCGACGTCATATTGCGGCCATTCGACTTTTACAGTTAGCCGCTGTCGACGATGACGCCGGCGTTCGAGTTGAATGCGCTGCCGACGCTGCCGCCGCCGCCGCTGCTGCTGTGGTGAAATTGTTGATGACCCCGACGTCAACGGCACGTTGTTTTATTTTCTTTCTTTAATGACAAGGACATTGACTAATTGCATTGACATTACATTGTCTCGATGTGCACGCGCGTGTGTGTGTGTGTGTGTGCGAATTCTCTTTTCTTTTTATAGCCTTTTACTTTGCCGCAAACAACAAACAAAAAGCTGTGCGCTTTCTTTGCGGCTGTGTGTGTGCGCGTATGTGTGTGTGTGTGTGTGTGTGTGCGTGTGAATGAAACCAGAGAGACGAGACAGTCCGTCGTAAGTGCCTGCTGCTGCTGCCCAGTGAAAACTGGCAACGCAGCAGCAGCAGAGCCAAAGTAATGATATTGCGGTATTTGTTGTTGTTGTTGTTGCTGTTGTACAACTTGCCACAGCTTTTGTTGATTTTGGGCCGCGAAAAAAACAGACGTCACACACACACACACACACACACACACACACACACACACACACACAACGGCAGCGCCGCTTTATTGCGTGCGTCTCTTTTCAACACTTGCCGTGAGTGTTTTTTTCGTTTTCGCTTTCCAATTTTGTTTATAACGGTTGACCAGAACAAAAAACCAACTCGAAATGAACAATTTCTTGATATTTGGCCTGTTTAGCGTGAAACACGATTAGATATTATCGAATAACATGTCGCTACTTGTTGTCATTGCTGTTGTTGTTGTTGTTGTTGCTGTTGTTGTTGTTCATTTTACCATAAACAGCTGTCACTTTGTTGCTGCTTTGACATTCTACGTGTGCGTGTGCGTGTGCATGTGTGTGTGTGTGTGTGTTTATCTCTTCCTCTAGCTCGTTCGCTCTATTTGTGTGAAGCGCGCGCTCCACACAATTGGGGCTAATAATTATGAGCTCACAGCGTCTATGCATGTGTGTGTGTGTCTGTGTGTGTGCGCTCTTTTCGTTTGTTCTCTTTTGTGCGCGTTTTTGAAACTGGTTTTTAAGCTTAATTACAATGCGCTTTGTTGTTGCTGCAAAATTTTGCATTCGCTTCGTTTTGCTGCTGCTGCTGCCGCTGCTTTTACTGTTGTTGTTGTTGTTGTTGTCGCTGTATTCACCAATTTTCAGCCCGTTGCGACGCTGAGCCATAGATTATTGACCTTGATTAGGTTAATAAATAAATACAACAGCGATTGTTGTATTTGATTTTCCAATTTCTATTTCGTTGCACGTTGCACACGCAACAAGCTACCAAATTGCACGCTTTATTGTTGTGAAATTATGGCGTACGCTTGTAAAATAATATCAAGGTATTGTAATTACCCACACACACACACACACACACACGCGCGCGCGCACGCATACACACATGCATGCGCACGTTTGTCATTGTTGGCCCGTTTGCACGTCATTTTTATTCATTCGCCTCTTTTTTTGCTGTGGTAGCAAATTTTTAACCTAAAATAGCGTTTCAAGCACAAGCACAAACAACAACAGCGAAAGGCTCTCTCAGCTGGCGTGTGTGTGTGTGTGGGAGAGCGCATCAGCGAGCGAGTGCATGCTTTAAAAAACTAGCGGCACTTTTGCCCAAACAACAGTCACTCGCTCACTCACTCGCTCACTCGCTCACTCACTCACACTCCGACAGTTATGAGCGGGCAGCAACAGCGAATTTTGTACATATGTACATTCTCACAGATACAGGCACTCACTGTTACGGACTCTCACCCACTCTTTTGCGCTCTCACCCTCTCTCTCTCTCTAACACACTGCTGCGCTCTTCATGTCTATCTTTGTCGCGCTGCGTGAGTCGCTGTCGGCAGCAACATGTGCACAAACCACACGTGCTACAAAAAAACACAGATACATAGTAGGTACGTCTGTCGTCTGTCTGTCTCTCTGTCTGTCTGTCTGTCTGTCCGTCTCTCTGTGTGTGTGTGTATTTGGAATTTGCATTGAGCAGCCATCGTCATATTCCTGTTATGGCCGGGAATGAGATTCGAACTCAAAGTCCGGCTAAAGAGCGGCGCGTCGCCAATTTCAGTTTTGTATTGTATTTTCTGTTGTAGATTTGTAGGCTTGGCATTTTTTTTTTCTTTTAATTTTTGTTTGTTGCGTTTCTTTTTGTGCTACTGCTTCGTTGCGTCCGGACTCTTTTGTTTGAAGCTCAGAAGCTGCAGCCGTTTTGTTGCTACCCTTTTACGTTCTTTCCCACTCTCTCTCTTTCGCTCGCGCGCTCTCTCTCTCTTGCGGGCTTTTGACATTTGCTGTGGCTGTGTGCGCTGTGGGTTTCGGCTATGGCCCCCGACTGGGCGGCGGCAAAACTAACACTCACACACACACACACACACATGCCTTAAACACACATGCACACGCACACACACATAATCGTACATTGCCCTCTGGTAAAAATTTACGCTGATCTCATTGAAAGAAGGTACACACACACACACACACACAAGCAGGCTTGTAACAGCAGCAACAACAACAACAAAATCCACCAACAGCATAAATATCCAAAGCCCAGCCTACGCCACTGCCTCTGCCACTGCCGCTGCCTCTGCCACTGCTGCTGCTGCCTCTGTCCTCTGTCCGCTGTCTCTGCCCGCTGCATTGTTTTGCTGCCAACGTCGCGGTACTCGCTGCTTTTATACGTTTTTCACTCACACTCTCACGCTCAGTCGCCGGCCTGCGCTCGCAGCACTCTTTGCTTTTGAGTGTGAATGTGAATGGGCCGCGCTGCCCGCTGCCTGCTGCCTGCTCTCTGCTGCCTGCTGCCTGCTCTCTTTTGCTTGCTGTGTTTTGTTATTTATAATGTTGTTTACCTTTACGTAATTATCTTTGCAACATTTGTTGGTGTTGCCTTGTCTGCGCCTCTGGCTGGCCTCTTTCTTTTGCTGTGTGTGTGTGTGTTGTTTTTTTTTCCCCCCCAAGCAGAGGGTGAACCGGCGCTGCTGCGCCCTGTAATTGTCGATGACGCCGCAGTCGCTGCCGCAGTCGCCGTCGCTGCTGCGTGTGTAGGTGTCTGGCGTCGCTTGTGCGAATACGTATGTGTGCGCGTGTGTGTGAGATGCTTGGAATTTTCCAAAAAATTACTCGACTATGCTGGCCCCCCTTCCCCCCGCTGCTCGTTCGTCGCCGTCGCATGGTAAATGGGCAACTTTTTTGTTGTTTTGTTTTAAAGTCGCATTTTGTTTGCGCTTCCGCTTTTGATTTGCCTGCGCCTGCCTGCCTGCCTTTTGGCCTGCTGCTGGGGACCGTTTCTGCTTCTTCTTCTTCATGTATTTTTCATGGTTTCTCTTGCATTTACATATTCTTCTATACCTCTGCTGCTGCTGCCTGCACTAGCTGTAAATGTGTGTGTGTACGCGCTCTCTCGAACTCTCGAACGCTCTTAATCCAGCCTCCCTCCTCTCCGCTCTTCGCTCTCTCTCTCTCTCTCTCTCTCTTTTGCTGCGTCGCAAAACAATAACAAATTAATTGGCCTTTTGGAAAAATTCTGGAAGCGCGCGTCGCTTAAATTTGAATGTTGAATGTTTTGCGTTTCTCTTCTTCTTCTCGCTGTTGTTGTTGTTGTCGCGCTTTGTTTATGTGTTGTCACACTCACACACACACACACATGTAGAAGAAGCACGCGTCCGCTTCTAGCTACTCAGTTATTTTCCGCCTGTTGTGAGTGCGTTCCATTAAAAATCTGAAAAAAAAAATAATGAAACGCTTTCAAATGTAAATAAACAATTAAGTTTTTTGCTGTGCTTGCAATTGATTTTCCAGTGTTGAGCAGCACAATGCGTGAGACAGTGTTGATAAACAGTTTTGCACTTTTGAACTGTGTGCAGTCAATGCAATTGGGCCTAAAGCAGGCTTTCCATAAATTTATGTGGATATTTGAAAGCTTTTGTAATACAAATTAAATAACTAAAAACTCTATTACATTTTAAAGCTTTAACTTGTGGATTTCAATTTCAGAACAGTGTTGTACAGTGTACAAAAATTCAGTGAATGCAATTAAAGTTTAGTTCTGCTAGAATTATATTATATTGGATTATTTTAAGATCAATAATACAGTAATTAACAGTGTTGCACAATGCAAAAAGTGTTCAATTACAGAACAGTGTTGCACAGTGCACAACAAGTTGAGCTTTTAACGAAAGCGAATGCAATTAAAGTTTAGTTCTAGAATTATATTATATTGCATTATTTTCAGACCAATTGCAGTGTAGAGTAATTAACAGTGTTGCACAATGCAGAAAGTAGTCAAGCAAGTTTTAAAGGAAATTGATTGAGTTCAATTCCTCTGGCATTTTTTCTCATCAGCTCATATATTATTACAGTAAAACTTACCCGATGCATCTAACGGTATTTGTTCTTTCTTTGTTCATTTCCAGCCAATCAATCGCTCTGGAACGGCACGTGGAAGGGCGAGCTGACCTACGAGTGCCGTTCGCTGCTCTTCAAGGCGCTGCACAATCTCATGGAAAGGTAAGCGAACGAAATACTGTCAATTTGAGATCCCTGCCAACTGTTCCATACTTTTGTGCCCTTGCAGATTCGTGCTGACCAAGGACATTGTGCGCTTTGGCAAATGGTTTGTGCAGCCGTGCACCTCCAGCGATCGTCTGTTTGGACGCAGGTGAGTCGCAAAAGGGAGTTCGGTTTTGAGTCGGCCGGCAAAAGGGGTTGGGGATGCACTTGCTCCGCTAATGGCGGCGCCCAATTGCTGAGAATTGTTTCCGTTGGGCGTCCTCGGCATGCATCCCAGATTAAATACCTTCAGACTGGAACTCTGTGCGGCCGCATTCCAGCCTGTGCGCTCGCATCGTTCTTCCAGGCACATTACCCATCGCAGATTTCTTGAGAGGATTGGCCAGCAAATGTTAACTGTGTTCTCTCTCTCTCTCTCTCTCTCTGTCTCTAGCTCGCAGCACTTGTCCTTCTCGTTCACGTTCTTTGTGCATGGCGACACGGTCTGCGCCTCGATAGATCTGCGCGAGCATCCCGCCGTGCGGCCCCTGACCAAGGAGCATCTGGCGGAGGCAGCGGCTGCCTTTGCCGCCGCCAGCGGCCAAACGTCGGGCACAGCACGTGCCCAACAGGATGCCGCCAGTGCTGGCACAGCCACGCTGCCCGCCGGCTCCCCACTGCTGGAGGCGTCGGGCGTCGCAGAGAAGTCGGCGTCGGCGTCGGCAGCGGCAGCGGCAGCGACGCCAACGCAAGCGCGCAAAGTGATGCTGGCGCCGTTTGGCATTGCGGCAATACTCACCGGCAACAGCTACAAGGCCAGCGATCCCATGGCCGAAAAGATACTCGAGGATTGGGCCTCGTTTTTTCCGCTGTGCAATAAGGACAACACGGATGTGCCACCCGTCGTTGAGGTGGTATCGGGTGAGTACCGCCCCCGCCCCCCCCCCCCCCTCTCTCTCTCTTTATCTATATATATTGATTTGTTTGGTTTGTGCAGGTGGTCATAAGATGTATCATCCCACGAATTATGTACTAGTCACGGATCTGGACGACATGGAGCACATGGAGTTTGCTGAGCTGCACAAGGCTAACGATCAGGCAGCAGCAGCAGCAGCAGCAGCTGCGACGCCAGCAGCGACGCAAGCAGCAGCATCTGCAAAGGACTCAAGGAAAGCAACAACGCAAGCGATCAGCGCCTTGGAGCGTCTAACGTTTCAGCCCTACTACGATCAGCGGCCCACATCGGGCTTCACCTTCAATACAAATAATACTCATATTCCCGCCACGGCGGCCATCGAAATGCCGGAGCGTGCCTGGCAGGATTGCATCATGAATACGCTGCACGTGGACGCCGCAGCAGCAGCAGCGGCAGCAGCAGCAGCGGCAGCGGCAGAGGAGGATGAGAACAAGCAAACGGATTCCAAGCAGCACGTGCAACAGCAAATCCAACAGCAGCAGCAGCAGCAGCAGCAGCAGAAGCAGCGGCAAAAGCTCTGGAACTTTGTGGATCCAATGCAAAAGGCGCCCTGCATATGCACCAAGTAAGTGTACCCCCTCCCCTCCCCACCCCCTCTCTCGCTCTCTCACGCTCTCTTTAATACACTTGTTACGCTCTCTCTGCTCCACTTGCATCGTTCGCTCTCCCTCTCTCTCGCCCTCTCTCTCTCTCTGCACAGCACACAGCGAGTCGTGTGCTCTGCATTGTTGTTATTTATATTCATTTCTTTTTTTTTGTTATTTTTTGCAATGAATTTGTTAGCCATAGCAAGAGAAACCGCTTTAAAGGCATGCCTAGTAAAACAGTTTGCAGCAACTCAGCTCTAATATATAGAATTATGTATAAATAGTTTGTTATCAATTAACTGCGTGTGTGTGTGTTTATCGATAAGCGTTGCATGTGTTATCGATATACGCTAACAGCGAAAACAATCGAAATGTTGTAACTTTAACTCACCACAGCTTGTTAGGCGCGCGCTCCTGAAAATGTGTTGAAAGTTGAGTTTAAAGTTTAACACCAAAACCCACCAAATTTCAGCGCACAATGCGGCAACACTGGCAGCACTGGCAGCAGCAGCGGCGTCGGTAGCGGCGTTGGCAGCGGCAAGCGCCAGCAGAGCGTCAGCAGCGGCATTGGCTCGCCAGCGCTGCGTGCTGCGATCGGCGTCGCCAGCAGCAGCAGCGGCAGCAAAACAACATTTCAGCTTTACCAACAACAACAACAACAACAGCAGCAGCAGCAGCAGCAGCATCAACGGGCAGCGACAGCGACGCATCATTCCAGTTCCAGTGTTGGCTACTTTGCCAGCAACTGCAGCAACTCCTCTTACTCCTACTACTCCTCCTCCTCCTCCTCCTCCTCCTCCTCCTCCTCCTACGCTGCTGTTGGCCTCAAGCGACAAATTGTGCCGTTTCATCAGCGTTTTCTACTCAATACTCAGACAGCGCTTAAACCTAACTACAACAACACAACTTCCTCTACAACAACAACAACAACAACAACAGACACCAATATACCAAAACAAAGGTTTGTGTCGCTGCTCAGCCGTGTGTGTGTTTATGTGTGTGTATGTGTGTGTGTGTGTGGAGTGTTGCCATATGTTTTAATTTTCTTTGGTTTTTTCTATAAGTTTTTAATACGCTCTATTATTACACTCACACACATGTGCATACTCACCCCGCCCCCACCCACACACACACACACACGCACACGCTCTCTTAAGTTGTTTATATTCTGTTAGTTCGCTCTCTTTCTGCCATCAACAACAACAGCAACACAACACGCTCTGTTAACTTTTTAACATTTTGTTACTGATTCTGTTGGTTGGTTATTTTAAGTTTTTTCTCAAACCTATTTTGAAAGTCAAACACACACACACACACACACACATACTTACTCGTTCATATACGAGCTGTTTAATTACGCAGCTCCTTAGCAACATATTCACCTCCACCTTCACCTCAGTAACAATACTTATTTTCAATTCTCTTAACTTGCGGTTAATGGTGTAACAAACAGTAACAGCAAATTAATATGCACACACACACACACACACACACACACTCACACACACACACATATTGTTCACTAACTGAGATACAGTTATATTTGGCATTTTGCGCAGGCGCGCAGTCTGCGATAATTCGCTCATTTAATCGTTATCGGACCGCGTGCTATCGATTGCAGCTGCCCGTTATATTAACAAACACGCACACACACACACACACACACACACACAACTGAACATATACTGTGTATATATGTAAATAACCCGTACATTTGCATATGTATATTCTGCAAAGGTTATTAATTTTTGTTTTTTTGGTTTTTGAGTTGGAACTGCTCTCTCTTGCTCGCTCGCTCGCTCGCTCTCTCGCTCTCTTGGATGTGGTGTTTATTATTATTTTTTTTGCTTACCATTTTCACTCTCGTTTTCGATTAATCGATTAACTATTTATAGATTATTAGCCGCAATAATTCGTAGTTGTTTTTAATATTGTATATAACCCACAAGCATGTTCCGCTTGTTGATTTTTGCAACACATCAACACTAATCACAACATTTTCTTTTACACCTCTCTTTCTCTGTTTCTCTCTCGCTCTCGCGCAGACATCTCAACGTGGGCAGCGCCTCTTCCGGCGGCAGCAGCAGCACGCCCTGCCAAGGCGGCGGCGCCTCCTCGACCTATTCACGCAACACGCAGCTGGGCGATCCGACGGTGGCCGCCGCCACCGCCGCCGCCGCCGCCTCCTCCTCGGTGGGTTCGCCTGCAACGCCGGCGCCCTCGCCGCATCCGCTCTCCAATTCGGCGCACTCGCAGCCGACCTCGGTGCCGCCCGCTGAGCAAGTGAGTCCAAGTGACGACTGTCCCACATTTCATCCGTAAAATATGTTGCTAATGTTTCCATTTTGCTCGCTCCTCCGTTGCTGCAGCTGCTCAATATGAGTCCGCATGCGCCGACATCCGTATCGAATCTGCAGCAGCCGCCGACGCCCATCGATCATCTGCTGGACAAGAATACGCCGGCGCCAACGCCGACGGATCAGCACGACAACAAAAGCATAACCGCCTCGCCGTACGTGCATCAGACACCCAGCGTGGAGCCGCCCACCTATGCAGAGCATGGCAATGCGGCCGGAGGCGGTGGCTCTCAATCTCTGAATGCGGCGCCGGGCAGTGTGCCACAGCAGCCGGCCACGCCCACGCCGGCAACAGCAGGCGCAGCAGCAACAACAACAGCAACAACAACAACATCCGCGACAGCTGCTGGAACAGGAACAGCAGGAGCAGCAACAGGAGCCGGAGCCGGAGCAGGCGGTGCCACACAATGCGGCACAATTAGCGTAAAGAAGCTGGAGATGCAGCAGCAGGCGCCACAGCAGGTGCTGGCCATCAAGCAGGAGCCAGGCCTGGCACGGATCAGCCAGGTGCAGCAGCAGCAGCAGCAGCAGGTGCCGCTGGCGAGCAGCGCCTTGGAAGCGGTCACAAATCTCTTCAATCTGTACAAGCCGCCGCAGCTGACGCTGAAGGACGGGGACAGCGTCTACGACGAGGAATGGCTCAAGGATGTCTACGACTTTAGCTTTCAGGAGACCTGGTGAGTTGTCTCTCTCTCGATCTTTCGATCTCTCGATCTCTTCACGTGCTTCCGACTAATTCTCGTTCTCTCTTCCGTTGCGCAGGGACAATCTGCCCGTGAAGCGGCCCAAGCTGAACGAGTCTGCCAAACAGCGACGACCACGTTACGCCCGGAATCTGTACGAGGGCCACACGCACTTCAAGCCGCTGATGCCCTCGCCCGGCTCCGTCTATGGCCCGCTGCTCTCCATCGAAGGCAGCGCCGCGGCGCTGGGAGCAGCCGGCGAGGGCAGCTCCAGCGGCGGCGGCGGCGGCGGTCTTGTGGGCATAGCCGGAGGAGCAGGAGCAGGAGCAGGAGGAGCCTATGGCGGCGCATCCAGCGCTGATGAGGCGGACAATGCGCTTGGCGGAAGCGGCAGCGGCAGCGGCAGCGGAAACATGACTGCAACAACAACTGGCAACAGTTTCTTCCAGGGCCTGGACATTAAGACGGAGCCGGGCCTGCATTCGCCGTGCAAGGAATCCAAGTCGACGAGCACCGCGGGCAGCGGGAGCGCTGGCAACAATCTGTTCACAGCCGAAGGCCTAAATCCCTCGCTCAACGATCTCGAGCAGCTGTTCGAGACGAGCTCCAACGACGAGTGCAGCAGCGTCCAGATCCATACGCCGCCCGACTCCAACAATCCCTCGAATGGCGGCTGCAGCGCCGTCAGCAACACCATCGACGAGCTCAAGCGGAGCACGGCGGTGGCCAGCGCCGTTGTTGCCGCCGTCGTCGCCAGCTCCGGTGCGGGAAGCATACAGGCCGAAGATCTAACCAAAATGTTTCCCACGCCTCCATCCCACGAGCAACAGCATCCCAATTCGAGTCCCTGCCAAACGGACGTTGTCATGACCGATCTGAGCGTGGACACCACCACCAACAACAGCAGCAGCACCACCACAAATGTGGGCGTAGCTGTCGGTCTGGGCGTGGTCCTCAAAATGGTTAAGCAGGAGTACAGCGTGGAGCTGGGCAGTCCCGTGGAGGAGCCCATCGATGACTGGAGCTATGTGTACAGGCCGCCGCAGCAGGAGAAATTTGTGGGCTCCTCGCGCTACGCGCCGCTCACCAATCTGCCCAGTCAGACGCAGCCGCCGCTCCAGATTCCCGCCAACTGCTACTACAATCCCACGTGGAGCCACAGCCAGAAGTCGCGTGCCGCCACGCTAGCCAAGGCGGCCGCCGCGCAGCAGCAGCAGCAGCAGCTCCAGAAGCACCAGCAGCTCCAGCAGCGCATCCAGCAGCATCAGCAGCTCCAGCAGCAGCACCAACAGCAGCAGCTCCAGCTGCAGCAGCAACAGCAGCAGCAGCATAAGCATCAGCAGCTGCACGAGCTGCTCTCCGCCGGACCGAGGACGCCAATGAATGCAGCGATGCCGTCGCCCTCGACGACGACGACGGCGACGACGACGGTGCCGCAGCCGCTGAGCAGCGGCGGCAGCCAGCTCCTGTTGAATCAGCTCAATTGTCCGCAGGCGCCGCCCGGCAGCTCCATGCAGCAGCTGATGCAGCGGGCCGGCATGTCGCCCATTCCGTCGCCGGGCGGGCCGGGCGTGGTGCCCTTTCCGCGCAGCAGTCCGATGCATCTGGGCGGAATGCGGCAGACGCCGACGCATCCGCCGCCGCCGTATCCGTATGAGCTGGCGGCGGCCAGTCCGGCCACGTCCACGTCCTCGTACCTCAACAAGCAGTACAATTCCCAGGAGCCGCCGGGTCATCCGCACACGCCGCAGAGCGTGCATCATGTGATGTTCGGGCCGATGAGTGCGGGCGCAGGAGGATCGGGTGGAGCGGGAGCTGGTCTAATGCCTGCAGGCGATGGCTCTAAGCTGGCCATGATGCAATATTCTGGCGGCGGCGCCGGCTCAACTGGTTTGGGCAGCAGCTCCTCCTCCTCCGTCGCCGCAGCGGCAGCAGCAGCAGCAGCTGCAATGAGTCTGCTGCAGGAGCTGCCGGAGGTCAACTCGGTGCTGATCAATATACTGCTCTACGATACGGCTCTGAATGTGTTCCGGGATCACAACTTTGACAGCAGCAGCGTCTGCGTCTGCAATGCGGATACCCAAAAGATTGGCAACATTCGCGGCGCCGACTCGGGTCTCTATGTGCCGCTGCCCGGCAGCAGCTTTAATCCGTTTCCGTCGCAGCGTCTGCTCAATAGTCATCCGGCGGGCACTCCATATAATCCCTTTGGAGGCAGTGCATCGGGTGGCGGCGGCGGCGGCGGCGGCGGTGGTGGTGGAATGCGCATGATAAGTGCCTTTGGCGGTGGGCTGGACTCGTCGCCGGTGGCTGCGCTGTCCGGAGCTGGCTCCGTGCACCATGGCCACGGGCCCAACGGCGGCTCCAGCTCCTCGTCGTGCACTCCGCCCAGCAGCAATCCGCACATCACGGGCTACGTGGACGACGATCCCGTTGAGTGCACATGCGGCTTTAGCGCCGTGGTCAATCGCCGTCTGTCACATCGCGCCGGCCTCTTCTACGAGGATGAGCTGGAGATCACGGGCATTGTGGACGATCCGGCCCGGCACAAGCAGCCCACGCTCTTGAGCCTCATCCAAAGCCTGTGCCGCAAGGGCAACAACAACCACAATCACAATCACAACAACAAGTCGGTCAACGAGCCGGTTGGCAAGGAGCTGGAGAAGCTAACGACGACGACAACCACGACGTCCGGACAGCAGCAGCAGCAGCAGCAGTTGGAGCAGCTGGCGCATGCGATCTTCGATCTGTTGCTGGATCAGTGCTCGATTATCCAGACCTCGAGCAGCTCGGTGCACCGGGCCCTGCAGTCCCATCGCCGTCGCATGTCCCGGCAGCGACGACTCTTTGGCCAGAACAGCGCCTCGCTGGCGTCCATAGCGAACGTGCTCGAGTTTACGGATGCGCACGATGTGGTCAGCCTGGCGCTGGAGCAGGCACGGCTCGCCTTCGAGAGCCAGCGCATGGACATGAATATGCTCGAATTCGGACACAATAATCACCATGGACAGCAGCACAATCCGCACCAGCATTCGCAGCATCCGCATCATCCGCACCAGCCACATCCAGCGCAGCATTCGCAACAGTTGACGGCATTCCAGGCGGCGCCTGCCCTGCGCCAGAAGCTTCTCGTGTTGGGCAGCAGTCGCCTCACGGTGCACAAATGGCCCTACCTACCCGTGGGCTTTACGCGAAGCAACAAGGAGATCGTCCGGACAATGAACGCCATCCAGCCGATGCTGCAGAGCGCCTTCCATTGCAAATCGCGCGGCGGTGCCGCCGGCTCCAAGGATGCCAGCTCCTATAATACGGTCAGCGGTCCGCTCACCTGGCGTCAGTTCCATCGTCTGGCCGGACGCGCCTCCGGGCAGTGCGAGCCACAGCCCATACCCTCGGTTGTGGTCGGTTACGAGAAGGATTGGATTTCGGTGGCGCCGCATTCCATTCACTATTGGGACAAGTTTCTCCTGGAGCCCTATTCGTATGCCCGGGACGTGGTCTACGTGGTCGTGTGTCCGGACAATGAGCATGTCGCCGCCAGCACGCGCACCTATTTCCGTGAGCTGAGCAGCACCTACGAGATGTGCAAGCTGGGCAGGCATACGCCCATCCGCGGCTGGGAGGGTGTCCTGCAGGTGGGCACCGAACGGGAGGCGCCGCTGACGCCGCTCGACGACTGGCTGCGCACCCTGGACCATGCGCCTCTGGCCGAGCAGATCCGACGCTATGCCGTGGCCTTTCTCTACCAGCTGGCGCCCTATCTGAGCCGTGTGCCCGGCGACAAGACGTTGCTCAATCCTCCGGATGCCTCTGCCAGTGGCAGCCACTCGACCAAGGCACCGGGCGCGGTGCCTCCTTCAGCTGCCGAGCATCCGCATGAGCCCGTCATCAAGCTGGAGCCGGGCACGGAGCCGACCCCGGCGACGCAGAGCAGCAGCAACAGCAGCTCCGGCGGCGCTGGCGGCGCCGGACAGGAGCAGGACAGCAAGGCGGATGTTAAGGCGGGCGGCGACTCGAAGCCCGCCCTGGTGCTGGGCGATCCGCTGGGCATGGGCGAAACGCTGGAGGACATCAATCCATCGGCTATTGTCCTTTATGTGGTGAATCCCTTCACCTTCGCCTCGGACAGCTTTGAGCTGGAGCGACTCGCGCTGATCGCACTGCTGCGCTGCTATGCGGAGCTCCTGAAGGCGGTGCCGGATTCGGTGCGCGCCCAGATGAACATCCAGATCATCTCGCTGGAGGCCATCATGGAGCTGGGGCCGTGCGGCAATCGTCGTCGCTTCTCGGATGAGATCAAGTGCCTGGCATTGAATATATTCTCGCAGTGCCGGCGGCATTTGGTGCATGCGCAGCCCGTCAAGAGTCTGACGGGCTTCGGCACCGCCGCCAACATGGAGGCCTTTCTCAAGACCAAGGATGAGCCCAATCGGCGCGCCTACAAGATGTACACGGCGCCCTTTGTCCTGGCACCGATGCACGAGCGCAACGACAAGACGGACTTCTCGCGCGCCGCCGGCAGCATGCACGGCCAGAACGAGACGCGCTATTCGGTCATGTATTGCAATTATTGCCTGAGCGAGGATCAGTCCTGGCTGCTGGCCACAGCCACAGATGAGCGTGGCGAGCTCCTGGAGAAGGTCTGCATCAATATCGATGTGCCGAATCGGGCGCGCAGACGCAAGGCCCCGGCACGTTATGTTGCCCTGCGCAAGCTCATGGACTTTGTCATGGGCCTCATCTCGCAGACGTCGCAGATGTGGCGTCTGGTCATCGGACGGATTGGACGCATCGGGCACAGCGAGCTCAAGTCCTGGAGCTATCTGCTCAGCAAACAGCAGCTGCAGAAGGCCTCTAAACAGTTCAAGGACATGTGCAAACAGTGCACTCTGATGTATCCGCCGACCATCCTGAGCGCCTGCCTGGTCACACTGGAACCGGATGCCAAGCTGCGCGTAATGCCCGATCAGTTTACGCCCGACGAACGCTTCTCGCAGATCTCCATGCAGAATCCGTTGTCGACGCCGCAGGATGTGACCTGTACACACATTCTGGTCTTTCCCACGAGTGCTGTCTGTGCTGTAAGTAGAAAGAACAAATTCTTCGATTATCGGTTAATCGGTTAATCGATTATCAATTATCGGTTAGTAATCGGTTAATTGAATTACTTACCGATATCGAATTTCCGTCCACTCCTTCACGATTTCCGTACACACATTCCAGTCTCCTGTCTGTCTGTGCTGTAAGAAGAAAGAAAAGACTCGACTAATTATCGGTTAATCTGTTAATCGATTAATAATTGATACTTACCGATATCCGATTAACGTTGTCTGCTTGCCGATTATCGTACAAAAAGTCTGGTCTTTCCCAAAAGTGCCAACTGTGCTGCAAGTAGAAAAACAGATCTCTTTAATTATCGGTTACTCGATTAGTAAATGTTGATAACTTATCGGTTTATAATTGATATTCTTACCGATATCCGATTACCGTTGGCTCCTTCACGATTTCCGTACAAAAATACCTGTATTTCCTCTCTGTGCTGTAAGTAGAAAGAACAGGAATGTAATTATCGATTAATCGATTATTAATTGATTCGCCTACCGGCATCCGATTTCCGTTGTCTCATAGACACATTCTGGTATTGTCCACGAGTGCTGTTAATCGGTTAATCGAGTATCAAGTATCGATAACTAATCGGTCAATTGATATGCTTACCTATATACGATTTTCTCGATGTCCCTACACTTATTCCAGTTTTTCCTGTCTGTGCTGTAAGTAGAAGGAGAAACCTCTGTAATTTTTGTATAATCAGTTAATCGATTAATAATTGATATGCCTACCGATATCCAATTACCGTTGTCTCTTAGACACATTCTGCTATTTCCCTCGAGTGCTGTTTGTGCTGCAAGTAAAAAGAACTCTGTAATTATCGGTTAAACGGATAATCGATTAATTGATTTGCTTACCGATATACGATTAGGGCTGTGCCTCCATATCAATTCCAATCGATTGTTATTTGAACTCGATTTTTTCTTGCAGTCCTTCACACGACAATTCCAGAACGAGCCGCAGGTCGACGATGACTTCATCTTTGGCGAGGAGGAGGGCAACGAGGACTTCAGCGATGCCGATATCGGCGACCTCTTCTGGGACTGTGAGTATCGCATGCAGATTGCATTATCCTTGATCGTTTGTCTCATGAAATGTCTTTTGCACAGCAGCTCACATGGATCGCGTCTCGAATCACGGCAGCCCAGGACGCATGGAGGACAATCGCAGCTGGCAGAGCGCCGGCGGCAACAATTTCAAATGTACGCCCCCGCAGGAGGTCGAGGAGGTGCGTAGCCCATATTAACTAAACTTAACCATTTGGCTTGACTTACCCATATCTTATTTGATTTTAGGTGGGTTCCCTCAATCAGCAGCCCATTTCGGTGGGTTATATGGTGTCAACAGCGCCGACGGGTCGAATGCCCGCCTGGTTCTGGTCCGCCTGTCCGCATCTGGAGGATGTGTGTCCCGTCTTCCTGAAGACCGCATTGCATTTGCATGTGCCCAACATTCAGATAGCCGACGATATACTCAACTCGACCAATGCCCATCAGTCGGCAAATGATCATCCCCTGGACTCGACCTTAACGGCCGATGTCCTGCGCTTTGTCCTTGAGGGCTACAATGCGCTCTCCTGGCTGGCCCTCGATTCCAATACACACGACCGACTCTCCTGTCTGCCCATCAATGTGCAGACCCTCATGGACTTGTACTATTTAACGGCGGCGATAGCATAATCGCGCAGTCACAAAAAGCAATATACAACACTAGACAATTAACAGTAGCAGTAACAGTAACAGAGTAACAGAGTAACAGTAACAGTCGATTGCTTCCAATTGCTGTACTTCCATATAATAGCGAAATATCCACAAGTGCTATACCAAAACAAAGAAACTCCAACAACAACAAACAAACAAACAAATAAAACACCAAGCAACCAACAACTGAAGTTAACAGTCCAAAAAAAAAACAAAAAACAAAAAGTTAAGTAACAGTAAGAATAACAGCAGCCGTAACAGTAACAGTAACAGTAAAAGTAATATTATAAAGATGAACTGTTAACAGAATAACGCACAGTTAGCGTAAACACAGAGCCTTGTAATAACAGCCGCCGCCGCCGCCTTACAGCCTTATCACAGGGTGTGCAAAGTTAAAAGAAGAAGAAAGTAAGAAATGTATGAGCAATGAGCAATGAGCGATGAGCAATGAGCAATGAGCGATAAATTGAATTATGGTTACCGAGAACCGATCAAGTCGTGAGAGTAGCAAAACAGCATTACTATTTATTAATTGAAGAATTGTGTATAGTGCAAGAATTGTTTTTTTAGGCTGGCGTTCGTTTTAGTGTTTAATATTTATACATATACAAAATGAAAAAACAACAACAAACAACAAACAAAAAAAAAAACCAACCACACAATAGGGGCATATTTATATATATTATATACATAGATCATATACAATACGCAAGATTTAAAGATGAAGAAAAAAGAAAAACATTTTTAGTGTGTAAGTAAAAAGGAAATTTGTACATATTTACAACCAATTTGCCGTAAGCAGTAAGAACAACAACAACAACAACAACAATAATTATAAACACACCAACAACAACAACAACAATATAAGAGAAAAAAATTATAATTATACAATTAGTAGCAACAAAAAGCGAAAACCCAATTAAAACTAAATTAAATTAATAAATTGTGTAAATTTTTTGTGCAAAGCGAGAATTAGTTTAAATTATTATAAAAAAAACACATACAATTTAATGTTAAAGCGAAAACTCACACACATACACACACACACACACACACAGAGACAGACAGACACACATATACAAAAGGAAACGGTATACTGTACATGCATATATAACAATTATATATATATATATATATATATATATATATAGAGCGATATACACATACATATATCTGGACGCAAAGCGCAGATGTTGAGCGGAGTGCGGGGGTGTAGGAGGGTTGGGGGGGGGGGGGGGTGCGTTGCATGGGGGGAAGGAAGAGTTATGGTATAAGGGATTTTAAGTCAGTAAGTAGTTTGAGCGTTAGGAAGAACTGTTTTATAAAAATTGTGTTTTGTTGTACTTCGCACACATATACACACACACACTGACACACACACACACACCAACTCACACACAGACTCACACACACACACCTGCATACACAAGACTCACATAGCCAATTGTTTAAAAAAGAATTACTTAAAAGAAATGTGTACAAATTAACATAATGCGGTTATAAAGAAAAGCTTTCTACAACAAAAACAAACATACACACACACACACACACACACACACACATATACATACAACAAATTGATTTTGCACATGGAAAACATTAAAAACAAAACGGATTTTCGCTAGATTTAAGTTTACATTAAAAGAAAACAATTATTAAACAATGAAATTATTTTTACCTGTGTATTTTAATTAGCATAATTTATCAACAACAACAAAAACAAAGCGAAACAACAAAAAATCTACATTTACAAAGACGTTTTCTAGTAATTACCACACACACACACACACAAACACACACACACACACACACGCTTAACTTTTAAGTAGTTTGGTTTTTAATTTTAGTATTCTATTTTTTTTCTTGTGTAATAAACAACAATTATTTGCAATTATTTTTTCAAAAATTTTTCATTTCGATATGGGGAATACCCTTTAGAAGAAAAAAAAGAAGCACCCGTCAATTTGGTATTTAAATACCGCCTTGCATTTGGCTTTTCTTTTTTTGGTTTTCCACTCTTCGCTCCAGTTTTGCAGTTCACATAACGGAACATTCATATCCACTAAAAAGAAAGCACTCGGAAAAATAAGGTGTGCACGACGCTGTATATTAAAAAAAACGCTTACAATAATTTCTAGCCTTTCCACTAAACGAACGAGCAGAAGAAAAATGCATAAAAGACAACAACAACAATGATAAACAAAAAAGAAAAATACAAAAAATTTCCTAGCTAAGGGTTTCAGTTCTTAACTCTGATTTTCTCTCAAAGCAAAGCGAAAGCAAAATACATATACATATATAGCAATAATTTTAATTGTAATCTACACACACACACACACACACAGAAGAAGAAGTAGAGGAAAACTAGTAGAAAAAGAAAAACAAAACATATAACGCAACAATTGACAACAAGCATTCATGAATAACAAAAACAAATGAATTAAAACCAAAATGGAGGGAACAGATTTTTTAAAAACCAACTCAATTTACGAGTTCAACAATTTTCTAAGAAATTAAAACAAAAAAAAACCAAAAAAATAAAAAACAAAACCAAAAACTGCGTTTTGCACGCGTTTCCACTGCCAGCGCAAAGAAGCGCACGCAGTGGAAACAGGGGCAAAAATTGCAACACACACACACACAGACATTTATGAGAAATGAGAAGCGAAACCATTTGTAAAGTAGAGTTAAGTGACAAAGGCAAGGCTTCAAAAAAAAAAAAAATAATTGAAAGCAAGCAAAAAATAGAATTAAAAAAGAAAAAAAAAGAAATGAAAAAAACTTACATAAGTGCATTAAGCGTTGGATGAAGTTTAGAGGAGAAAACCATTTACTAGCCCAGCCCCTAGCCTAAAAGTATGCAATTATTAAGTTAAACATTTGTTAAGGTTAGATCGAGGTTAGTTTTACGGCATGACACACACACACACACACATACACACGCACACACACACGCACACGTAAGCATGTGTGTGTGCGTACATAGGCCAAATTCCAATTGCAAAATTATGCTTAGGCGGCAAACAAACCAACAACAAACTTAAGAGACAAAAACAAAATATAACAATTGAAAAATATATGAAAAAACAAATTGCATTTGTTTCTAAAACAAATGGGCGCACGTTGTAAACGCCAAATAAATACATACATATATACATAAATTAGACGAAGATGCGAAGATGCGCTGAGGTGGGAAATGAAATGAAATGTATGTCAAACCGAAAATCTAGCTACAGAATTGCATATTATATAAAATTATAATAATTAATTATATAACGGACAAACACACACACACACACACACGCAAACACACACACACAAACAAAATGTTGTTGTAGTCAAATTACAAATGAAATCTTGTTTTTGCTACCGGCTGAGTCGAAAAATAGTGAAAATCAAGAAAACAAATCAAGTCAAATTTTAAATGCAAGCAAAAAATTAAAATTTAAATAACAAAACAAAACAAAACAAAAACAAAAAACCGAAAATAAATCAAATCATTTTTTGCAAGTTCTTTATAACTAATAAAGGTTTTTTGGCAAGCAGAAGACAAAGTACAGAAGAAAAAAATAAAAAACACATTTTTCCAATAAAAATAAAAAGAAAAGCAAACGCAAATCAATTTAAATTGAAATGTTTCTTTTTTTTTTTTTGTTAGTTAGTTACACAACACTCAAGCTCTCTGGCGGCATGCTACAACACTGGCTCAGGTATATCTGGAGTAATATTGGGTCGTGGCATAACGTTGACCTATTGAACTGTAGAATGCAATTAGCTTGCGTTCGAATTCATCGCCGCCCGCATGACTATTGTCTAGCCAGGCCTCCAACAGAATGTTCGCATCGTAGTTATCGCTCACCTTTTCCAGTTCGTCTGGAAAGGTTTAAGGGGTTTAGCTCGAGGTAACCTTTTATAAACAAAGACGATCAGCTACTCACTCATGACCATTTCCTTGATTTCCCACTCGCAGTCGTAGCGCTGCGTTAGAAACTGCAGAAATTCCAATAACTTGGTCGTGGTCAGCTCCCAGGTAATGCAGTGTTCGCGAATTAGCTCATCATCGTTCCAGAGGCGGACACGTCTCCACATGTGCTCGGTTCTCAGCCTGATCTCGGTCAGCGTTTCCAGTATGTGCTTCATCTGGTTGTAGGCCTTATCGAGTCGCTTGAAGAGTTTATGTATACGCTTTTTCGCATGCCGCAATTCGCGTGATCTTTTCGCATTGTTCAATTGAGTTTCGCTCTCAAAGATTTTCGCACACAGTTCGGCATAGATTTTCATTTGCTCGCCACCTTTAAGCACACCCTGCTGCCAGCTCAGGGCATCGATTTTGATTGTTGTGGGGATAACATTAAGTTCCTTTATAATGTTGTGCGAGTTCATATTGGCCAACGACATTTACTTGCACGCGAGGACTAGAAGTTTTCAAATTGTAGCATGCAGTGTTGTACAATGCGAGCAAGTCGCATGAAGTGTGCGCAAGGTTTTTGTGTTGCTGCACACTGATTTATCTTTGCATTTCCTTTGCTGCTTCTTCTTAAAACTATTGTCAGAAATTGCATTAGCTTTAGTTGTCTCCTGCCCTCTCTCTCTCTCTTATTGGGAGGGAGAATAGCTTGCATAAAAGTTCTTATTAGAATTATTACTATCGCCCTTTTAACAGTGTTGTGCAATGCCGGCAAGCTTGAGGTGAAGTATGTTAATAACTATCGCATAGAGAGTTTTTGATTCTTATTTACTTGAAATGAAAGCTTTGAGCTGGAGCTCTTCTTGCAAGACGAAAAAAAGGGAGCAAAGGAAAGCCCAACACAACTGCTCAACAGCAAAGAGTACAGATAGATAGAAAGCTTAACATTATGTAGACCCCGTTAACAGCTGAGTGCTGTGCAATATCAGGAAATCATGTGACACGTGTCAAGCATTCGCGCGTTAGCCAACACTGTTGTCCTTTGTTATTGCTTTCTGCCAATTCGATCGAATACAAGCTGTAAGAAGCTAGAGCAGCGCATTAATTGAGCGCTTGTTATGTGCAACTCCTCTACGTTTTCCCCTCGGGCAATTAGCTGCCGGCTAGTTGCGGCCATTTTACCTTTTCTTTATTTCGCTTTTGGGGTCGTTGCAGCCTGTCAGCCCGAGCTGCAGCCATGAATTACGGTGCGTTGATTGCGTTTAAGGCCTGATTGCAACAACAACAAGAACAACAACAGAATTTGCAGTTCTTTTGAGCTGAGCGCGCGGCAAACTGGTTTTTCGCTTTTGGTTCTGCATTAATTATCAACAAATCATTTTTGTAGCACTGAAGGGCGCATTTATCAGCGATTATGCATGATGGAGCGAGCGATCGCTCGGAATGCACTGGAATGGGGAAGGGGGTGAGAGATGGAGGCAGCTTTGGCCAAGTGTCGCAGAACATGTGTACGCCTGGCAGCTGCCGACGACTGCGGCAGGCGGATGTGGCACAAATTGAAGCAGGCTTTTAGAGATTCACGTCGATCTTGACGTGCCGCCACCGAATTTGTCAGCCAAAGACGGACACAATGATGGGCAGCGGCCAGTGGCCGGAGGCTGTTGCGCGGCAGCACAAGGACGCGACTTCCAGGCGTCGGCGACATGACATGCCGTTGATAAGCAGAAAAAAAAAAGAAAAACGAAAAAAAAAACCAAGTCCAGCACAAAAAACGCGCTCTTCGCATTGCAATTAAGATATTTTTATGTAAATTAATGAAAACAGCGAGCGGCAGACGCGGCAAAAGGTTGCCAGATCGACGCAGATATGCAGCAGCAGGAGCAGACATATGTTAGGGTGGTGGAGGGGGTAGTGAGAGGGGAAGCTGGCAGTCTGTGGCGCTGAATTGTGCGGAGCATGCGTGCAACTTACAAATAAGTACAAGCCGCAGCGACTGCAGAGTCCAATTGCGACGAAAACTGTGCGCATTTTTAATTGGAAAGCGCACCCAAAAAAAAGAAACAAGTGAGCTCTGCTCGGAGACTGCACGACTAGGAGATGCCCTGTAAACAGCTAAGCAACTACAACTTATTTCATATACTTATATATCTCTCTACATATAAAACTGTTTGTCCTGACGGACTGACTCACTCTGACTTCCTTACTGACCGACTGACTGACTGATTGGTGTGTGGAAAACATATCGATTCGTCTGATGGATGTTACGCACTTTTTGAAAATACATCCCTCCTTGGTGGACATAGTTGCCAAAAATTTGATGGGTGACATTCATTTCCAATGACCTATACGAAAAATTGAGACGTGTTTAAATTGTTGACAAAATCAAAACATACACATGTACATACATACATACATACATACATACATACATACATACATATATACATACATACACACATACATACATACATACATACATACATACATACATACATACATACATACATACATACATACATACATACATACATACATACATACATACATACATACATACATACATACATACATACATACATACATACATACATACATACATACATACATACATACATACATACATACATACATACATACATACATACATACATATATACATACATACATACATACATACATACATACATACATACATACATACATACATACATACATACATACATACATACATACATACATACATACATACATACATACGTCTACATCTACATCTACCTACATACATACATCTACATCTACATCTACCTACATACATACATCTACATCTACCTACATACATCTACCTACATATCTACTTACCCGCCCACCTCCTCCTGCGCCGCCTCCTCCTGCTCCACCGCCTCCTCCAGAGCTGCTCCTCCAGGCCGTTGGAGCCAACGCACCCTGCCTAGTCGAATTTCAGCAGGGCCTACTTGAATTTTTGAGAATCGAGGAGGACAGCACCTAGAAGAAATTCGTTTTATTTAAATTTGCAGCATAACGACAAATAAGCTTAGTCTGCGTTTGGTATTAGAAAACATATACATGCATACATGCATACACATACATACACACACCCACACACACACACACGCCCACAAACACACACACACACACATATATATATATAATACTTATTTTTATATATAAAACTTATTAAATGCGGCTATGTCTCTTTTCGCAAGTAAAATTCCTTTTTTAATAAGATCGGTGCTTATTGTCCGATCTTTTTGAAATTTGGCATGCATAAAGATGACAATTTGCCAAAAATCAAGGCCATTACCGCAAAGTTTTTATTTATTTTGTAACATTTTGGGGGAGGTTTAAAAAAATTAAAAATTTTGTATACCTAATTACAACGTTCTTTTTCTTTCTTGTGAGAACCGATAATTGATCTTCTTTTTAAGGGAACTAATTAAAGGTGATCTGTTCGTTAAATAGAATTAACATTCTGCAAATTTCAAAAGTCAGTCTGTGATATTGTCTAGATCAGACTGATGAGGGATCCGATTGATCACCTCTAAAACATGGGCACAACTTCAATATACCCTTGCCATTTATATGGGTACAGGGTATATAAAGAGCGCAGCCGAAGGAGCCACAGCTTCGGCCTGCAGCCAATGGACAACGATCGGAAACAGAAAAAAAAAATGTGACGCACCGAAAATTTATTGTCTCATGATGCGCTGAAAAAGCGAAGCCGAGCCAACGAGCTGAGCTGCATGTCGAATGGCCAGAGCAAACAGCAAAAAGGCCGCGGGCAGAGCAATCGAAGGCGGGACGAGGAGATGCCAAGAAGGAGAAGCCACAGCTCAGCGATCGGCTGGGCTGCAACTCCTGCTCCTATACTACTCCTTCTTCGTCTCCATCTCCGTCTCCGTCTGCTTCTGGCTCGGCATTTATGTCTGGCACTTGACACATTTTGTTATGGCATTTCCAGCTACCGCGCGCAGCTCTGACTTTGTTGACCCAATCAAAATTCCTGGACCTTGCACTTGAATGCGTTTAATTTGTAAGCTCGCCGAGTCGCAAACTGTCGCTCGGCTCAAGTGTTGAATCGCATGTACAGACATGAGAATCGGCACAAGAATCGCTGACTCCGACTTCAAGCTGCATCTGCAATATGTTAACTGATCCTGCTATCGACGGCAATTGAGTGCACTTGCAGGCGAGGAGCTGCTTATAATAGCTGTTAAAACAGCTCAGGATGCTGATAAAGCAACTGAGACAAGGTATTATCTCATTATCAGAGCAGCAAATTGAGCTTGGAATGGAATACGTGTATTTTTTTTAATCAAGCTAATCTTATGCCCGAAACTAGGCTTATTTGACGAGGTATTGTTTTACATTTAGTATAACAACTTGCGGTCTCTATCCCACCCAAACTTGAATTCATCTACCGAACTTAAGGCTTGGGCATAGTTGCATATATTGAACCCAACCAACGACAATATTTGCAGCCAAGCTGAAAGGATAGCCCAGTCTATATTAATTGTACAATGCAGATCTTTTAGACATCAAAGTAGTCTTCTATTCAGCTCAATCGATTATCATAGCTCGAATGCCATGTCTTTGTCTTGTCCTACCCTCTAGACTTTACATCTAAAATCTTGTATTGTTATCCAAATCCCTATGAATAAGTTCCGACTTTCATAAATTTATCTGTTTTCTGGTTTGCCGCTGTTCTAGATTGTTTTGGCCAGTCTCTCTATGCTCCATTTGCAGCTGCTCTCTGAACTCAACCAGATCTTGAGGTTTTGCATTTGCCTTTGAGCGTATTGCTGATACCCATTTTGCGGCATAAGCCAAGCTATTTGCCTGCTTATCTGTGCCGACTTCCTCTTGGCCTCTTGGCCACTTAATAAGGGGCTTCAACTAGGCGTGTGGGGTGTCCAGTCTACAGTGCAATGCAGCTGCTGCCTGTAACCAGTCCCACTTCCAGTCCCACTCCCAGTCCCAGTTCTAGGCTCAGTCGCAGCTCCAATTGCAGCTCTAGATTGTTGCCGGTAGCGTTTGCTGATCGCTGGCCAGGGCCAGGGCAGCTGGCAGGGCGGCTGGCAGGGCGCAAGTTGATTTATTCTAATCTGTATAAGCATGGCTATAATAAAGCAAAAGTGCCCACTGAGTGGACAATGCTGGCCAGCGGCTCTTGGCCAGGCTTGCAGTTCTTGTTCTTGTCGGGGCCAAATTGCAGATCAGCCTGTGTCCAGCTTGTTCAACGTGTGTGCGGCTCAGTGTTGTCAAAATCGCTTGTTTTCCGCTAAATCTAGCCTTTTTTATTAGCAGTGTGATAGCGGAAAGTTTAGTTCGAAGTATAAATGTTGCCAAACATGATATTTTGTATTTAATATTAATTTTGTTTGTTTAACCTAGACTCAATTAGTGGGAATTTGATTTAAGAACGAGAAAGAAGGGCTATCTTCGGCATGCCGAATGTATTTAATACCCTTTCAGACTCTTATGCGTTACAAATTTCGAGACAAAGTTGTAAAACCCTTGCAACGCTATAACAAGCTAAAACCAAACAAAAGGCGAGCAGGTCGCCTGGCAGTTTGTCTGTCTGCCTTTCGTATCTTTCGAAGCTTAAACTAGTCGCGAATTGCAACGTTTTAAGCGACGACAAATATAAAAAAGCAATCAAAAATGAAGCCCACTTCCCTGAATTCACCTATCCTGCTTAATTTATAAATAAGTAACAAGTATTTTAAGCTTTTTTTTAAGTTGTTTTTCAGCTTCTCGTTCACCTTTCTTTTTGTCAGCACTGTTGCGGCTGCGCAGTCGCTTTGGGGATTGGTCAATGCGCATAATTGGACTTAAGCCGCCAGTGCAGACGCAGCTGCAGATTCTAATGACTCAGCAGGAGCAGCGGCAACGGGTGGCACAGGGCCAGCGCTGGAGAGAGCGGTAGGCAGAGGGATGCCACCTTTCACCGTGAGTAATGCACTGGCCGCCAAATGAAGTTGCATGCGCTAATTTATCGCGTCAGCCAAGCTTGCAACGTTATCAAAATGCATGCGAGAAAATGTCGCCGCAAGCAGGTCGCCCGATTCCGGTTGCCACAGCTCATGTTATCGACGCAAAGTGTTCGCCACGACGGGTGACAATGATACGCCCCGCCTCAGAAAAGCCAAAACGAAGTCGAAATCTCACCTCAGCTGGAAAACGCGTCTGCTTCCAGCCACTTTGTCAGGAGTACTAGTGTGTGTGTGTGTGTGTGTGGGGCGTTTGCAGAGCAGACTTCGCCGGCTGCCTGTGCCTTGATTTTATTCAAATTTCAACATGCAAGGGGCTCGGGTGACGGAGGATGCGGTTGTGTGCTGGGCCAGAGGCTGCCGCTGGGAGCAGGCGTTCGCCAAATCACGTAATGCGCCTTGCAAACATTGTTAAAACACTTGCGGCACGGCAAACACAGGCTAAAGGCTTGGGTCTACATCTACAACTCCCCTCCCACCGCTCTACGTTCTTCTTCTCCTCTTATTTTCAGTGTAAAATTGCATTTAAATACCCTTGCAGTGGGCACGAAATGCGTAACGCCTTGAAGCAGTTAGCTGCGTTCACATATATATATGCTTGACTAGTCAAGTCCGTTTGGACATATATATGCATCCTTGACTCTCAGTCTTAAAGCTAGCTTAATGTAGGTTTAATGTCGCATCTGACAACCATATTCTATATAAAGAATTGTCGGTCAAAAACAGAGTTCTGTTAAAAACGTTGTTGTCTACCATGATATGTTGACCAAAATTAATAAAATATACATTATATACAAATATATATCGTATATAATATCATAAATAAAGCTCACAGAAGCAATCGGACAAAGTTGGTCAACATAATTTTTGGTTTTTCTAAAATGCCTTCACTATACTATCTAATAGTAGGATTTACTATGCTGTTAACTTAAAAACTAATAAATTTTCTTATCAGCACCAGTTAAACTCTATATATAAGACTGTTTGCCTTGACGGACTGACTTACTCAGACTTCCTGACTTCTGGCAGACTGATTGGAGACCAACGCACAGCCCATATCGTTAGAGCTAGAAAAATAAAAAATGAATTGTAGTTTCCGTTTGTGATGTAGGTGCACGTTAAGACTGTGCTTTAGGAAATTGACTATCATTTACACACATATACATACATACATACATACATACATACATACATACATACATAATACATACATACATACATACATACATACATACATACATACATACATACATACATACATACATACATACATAAATACATACATACATACATACATACATACATACATACATACATACATACATACATACATACATACATACATACATACATACATACATACATACATACATACATACATACATACATACATACATACATACATACATACATACATACATACATACATACATACATACATACATTCATACATACATACATACATACATACATACATACATACATACATACATACATACATACATACATACATACATACATACATACATACATACATACATACATACATACATACATACATACATCTACATCTACATCAACATCTACATCAACATCTACTTACATACATACATCTACAACTACCTACATACATACATCTACATCTACCTACATACATACATCTACCTACATATCTACTTACCCGCCCACCTCCTCCTGCTCCACCGCCTCCTCCAGAGCTGCTCCTCCAGGCCGTTGGAGCCAACGCCTAGTCGAATTTCAGCAGGGCCTACTTGAATTTTTGAGAATCGAGGAGGACAGCACCTGGAAGAAATTCGTTTTATTTAAATTTGCAGCATAACGACAAATAAGCTTAGTCTGCGTTTGGCATTAGAAAACAGACATGCACGCATACATATATACATAAATGCACACATACATACATGCATACACTAACACACGTCCACACACACACACACACACACACACACACACATACATACATACATAAATATATATAATACTTATATGCCCTCATTCGAAATACTTGTATATTTTTATATAAATCGATTGGTTCTAACTGATTGATTGATTGACTGATTGATTGACCAACTGACTGACAGATTGATTGATTGATTGACTGAATTACTGATTGAGAATCAACGCAGGCCGAACTTTAAGAGCTAACAGCTCAATTTTTAACAGGAAGGTAACTTATGCCGTGAAAACGCTTGCTAAGACGGGATTCTAGATTTCACCCGCAAATGTGGAAAATCGATGGAAAACGATTGTATCAAACTTTTCTTAATTACTTTCTACTTTCTGGCTTATGATTTAAAATTAAATATTGGCACAATATACCTCATAATAAAGTCTTAATTAATTCCATGACAAAGAACAGGATAGGTGACTCAAGCTATAGCCACAATAACACTAAAAGGCTGAACTGCACTAGCTTAAGATTCTGTTAGATTTTATATTAATTGCGGTTTTCATTTTCAACATCTCTTGAGAAAACTCCGATGTTTACGAGCTTTTACTAAATATATATCCCTATATCCCGATCAAATTGTGTTTCATTAATGCAAGTTTTTGCTCTTTGTAAAAGTTTTTCCAAGGTTTTTGCTAACATATGAGTAATATTGTATTCGAGGCAGAATATATAGCTTATAGCTTCTATTGGAGCAATCGCATGAAACGAGTTTAAGAATGGACACTTATTTTTAATTTAAAAGAAATCATGAGCAAATGTGGAGATTTAATTAAAGTCTCATCAACATTGCATTGCCAAGTCATAAAACTGCCAAAAGAAGGGGCTGAAGAGTAAGTTTTTGTATATATAAAATCTAAAGTGCACATATGTCTGCAAGGGTATTTAAACTTCGGCCAGCCGAAACGAGAACTCTTCCTTCTTGCCAGTTCTCAGTTTAAGGCATATGGAATGCTAGGCGGACGCAGGGAGAACCTTGGGTGGGTTTGGTCAGGCGTTGCCGAGTCTGCGTTTATTTAAATTTATTTTCCTAGAATGCCACAAGTCGCCACATCGATGCGCAATTTGTTGTTGCAGCTTACAACTTGCAACGTGTGGCAGGCAAGCAGTAGCCCGGACTGCAACTGCAGCAGCAACGGCAGCATCGGCAGCAGCAGCAACTGCGTCTGCGTATGAAAATTAATTGCTGCCACTCGTGACGATGGCTGCAGCTCGATCTGCCGCTTGCCACTTGCCGTCTGCCCCATGCCGCATGCACCATGCCTCTTCTGTTGCCAGAGTGGCGAGTGGGCGGCATATCGTTTAGATTTATGGCCCTCGCTCTGTCGCCGTCTGTGAGTGTCGCGTGATAAGTCTATAAAATGTTTAAATGTACGTTACATTTGTACGTGCAAATGGCAGTGGGACGAGATTTGCATATCGCCCAACTCCCCACTCCCCACTCGCCCTGAATCTCTCCCCCCCCACTCCCCTCTCTCACGCTGAGGACTTTCATTATGAGCTGCTGGTGAAAGGTGCCTCCTCCATGTGGGCTGCTGTTAATTGTATATCATATGAGGCCATATGCGATTGCAGTTCCCGGTGAAAGGAATATATTAAAAGCTGGAGAGGAGCAGACGGACGAGGGGCAACAGGTGGACGCGGCAGCGGCAACTGTTGCTAGTTGCCACAAATCAAGGCTGTCTCAAGCCCTCAATTCGACACAAAGTGCACTTTGTTCAATCAACTCTGCTTAAGTCACAAATTCAAGTTGATGATGTTTGAACAGTTCCAGTTCCAGGTTCAGCTTCAGTTCCAGCTCCAGTTCCTAGTCGCAGCTGCGGGCGGGGCTGTGGCTCCCTTGTGACACATTGCACCATTAATTTGATGGATTGTAAAGTTTTTCGCTTCAACAACTTTGCTGCCCAAAAAAAAAAAAAAAAAAATCAAAAGAAGAGCTGGAAAATTGCACGAGAAAAAGAGGGAAAATTAAGGCGCACATTGATGACACAACGAGGGCTGGCTCCGCCTGGTGGAAAGTGAGGGGGGGGGGGGGGGGTTGTTGCCGTAAATTTATGCCTGCCCAAGTTGACGCTTCACTGAATTTGTGTGTGTGCGCTAAATGTGCCCAACAACAGATGAAGGCGTCCACTTGATGATGCTGACGAGGACGAAGACGAAGACGATGTTGATGATGATGATGGAGGAGCCCGATGGAACTCCGATTGGAGCGTTGAAAGAAGTTCATTTGCATTGTGGACACGGTCAGTAAAATTGGGCGATGCCTCAATGCAGATGCTTTAAGCGAAATTGGGGCAGGCACTGGACTGTCGTCAATGTGAGCTGTGGAAAAGGATGTGCCCTTGATCTTAAGCTACTAAGGGTTGCCAAGCTGTGCTGTAGTGTTGTGTTCGTGAATTAGCTCAAATGAACACTTGCTTCTTTTTGGTCGGTTTTTTTTTCCTATATTGCTCTTTGTTTCTCTGTCTGTCCCTTTTTTCTTCTCACTATGTCTGTATCCTTCTCTATCTCTCTCTCTCTCTCTCGCCATCTGTCTGCCTCGTTTCAGGGTTGCCAAGCTGTTGTGGTGTATTTTTCTGGTATTATGTCTCTCTTGCTCTCTGCTCTTTTGTCTGTCCCTCTTGCTCTCTCTCTCTCTCTCTTTCTGACACTATCTCTCTATTTCTCTCTCTCCCTCTCTCTCCCTCTCTCTCTCTCTCTCTCTCTTTCTCTCTCTTTCTCCCTATTTCTCTCTCTCTTCCTTAGTCTTCTAATATTCCATTTCTCTTTCTAACTTTTCACTTGTCTTACATTACGTAGGGCTCTCCGTGCTCTCTCTCTCTCCTCCTCCCTCTCCCTCTCCCACTCCCTTTCTTCTCAACCTATGCGCATTACGTTTGGCGATTTCAGACGATTTAAAAGCGATTATGGCCAACTCTTTGTTGTGCCAACTGAATATGACAAGCGCTCCGGACAGGCTGTGTCCACATATGGCATGGCTGGCTGCAGCTCCTGCTCCACAATTGCAGCTCCTTCTTTAGTTGGTGCTGTGCTTCTGCTTCTTCTTCTTCTCGTGCAGCTCCTTTTGCCTTGCCTTGGCTGCGATTGACGGGCACTGATAGGCGAATTTTGCATAAACCCAAAGCAAAGCAACAAAAAGCGCACGTCGCGACGACGCGTTGGCGGAAATGCGTTTTGAATCCTTGTAGCGAGTGCCTGCTGTTGCACTGGCTGGCAGCCTGCCTGCCACATGGGGCAGCGACTTTTTACCATTTTGGCCGGCGCATTGTCTGCGAACGTCTGGACGCGCGGCTTTGTTTAATTGCGAGCTGCAATTGTGGAGCTTGGGCCGGTTGCCTCGTTTGGTTTCCTTTTCGCAGTTGCAGTCAGTCGGAGTTGTCCCTGGAGGCATATGCGCAGCAATTGAAATTGAGAATCGGAGCACGCTTCATGCTGCTTGCTTGCCCAGCCACACAAATTCCTATGCCTATATGACGCAGCCAAACCACCCCGCTCGCCCGTCGCAGCCCCTTTCCATGCTGTCCATGCTGCTCAGTTCCTGTTGCCGGGCCACGCACAATGCGCGCATAATAATGAGGCTGGAGGCAGGCAACAAACTTGTTTAGGCTCACAGTCCCCACTGCATCTACCCGCTGCGCTCTCTCTCTCTCTCTTCAATCTTGCACCCCTTGCCCTAGTGCTTGCCACTTTGCAACGCTGCCTCGCATTTTGTCATCCATACGTGATAAATGCGATTTTTGTTGCCTAGTCGCAGGCCCAATAGAGCGGCATTAGAATGTCATTTGTGCGCCTGCTCAGGTGCGGCGAGGTGTGCGAGGTGTGTGTGCAGTGTGTGTTGTGTGTGTGTGTGTGAGGTACTGTTATTGAGTTTAACCGCGCCCGCATCGCAGCTTTGACCAATTTTTGCTTAATCGCATTTAAGCTGATTTCTGAGTTGAAGTTTGTTGCAAGTTATGCCCCTCCCTCCGCCCTTCGGCTGCCATCCCCTGCTGCCATTCACTTTACTTTGCTGTGCTAACTGTTTACCACAACAAAGGCTTTTGGGGGCAGCCCCTGGTTCTGGCGTTCAGCTGGCCGCAAAGCGAAAGCCCGTCAAGAAGTTGGTTTGTTTTTTTTGTAAATCGCGCACGAGTGCGCACAAAGAGATGGCCTCCCCTCTGCACCTCCCCCCCCCCCCCCTCTACGGTAAACCATATGCAGCCGCACCCGTTGCGACCATGTCAACGTTTCGGGCAACCGAAACTCCGATTCCGACTCCTGCTCCGGCCATAGAGCCTTTCCCTCATTTAAGCGCCGAAAATCCCCCCCAACTTTCGTGCAATGCAATTTCTATTGTTCTTGAACGAGAAGAGAGCGCAGCTAAAAACAAAGCCAAAAAATGCACCTGCCCCTTGCCTCCCTCTTAATACCCTGTACTGTACACAGGCTACTCCTGTGGGGCACTCCTTGGAAACGTAACGAAGTCAACGTTGCTGCCACAAAATGAGCGCTTTATACCTACTTAGATCGCTATAAATTTAGCTTAAGGCAACAAAAGTGTTGCCGTGCAGCAGCTGTCTGGACCATGCACAGTGTCACGATGTCTGTCGAAACTTGATGTGAGAAAAAAAAATGTTTCGGTTCAGCTTAGGAAGACATCGTTCTGATTAGAGGCGGGACGGAAGCTGCGATTGAGAATGACTGATAAACTTATAGAATTTTTATCTTTACGCATTTAGAGTTTATACCAAGGACTTGGGTACGAATTATCAGCTTTATTTTCCAGAAGAAAAGACAGTTTTGATGGAGTATACAAAAGCTGCCTTGGCAGATTTTCATAATATACATTTTTTGG